TTTGATAACTATATTTAGACTGACTGTACCAAGATGTCAATTTTTAATCAAAATGTTCAAGGGCAAGGCGACAATCTAATAAGTTGGTTTATTCTAAATTATTCATTTTACTGTATAGTTTTCAAAAAGTGATGCTAATTTCTTTGTAATTCTTTAGGTAATTTATAATTTCCGATGATATTAGGAAAATACCCTATTTTTCATATACTACTGACTGTTTCAGGTGAATAACTTAAATGTATCGGAAAACCAACTGAATGAGCATCATTTTTGCGAAAGTATAGATACTTAGGGACAATTTAAAACACTGTACAGTTATTTGTTTGTTTGCCTTGCCCTTGAACTTTTTGGTTAAATTCAACATTTCATTTGTTGACCTAAAATCGGAGCCCACGTGACTTTAGAGGGTCACATGATCACAAAAATTCCTACTTTAATAGCGATGGACAAACTCTTCAAGATAACATAAAGCTTTTTTAACTAGAGTGTTTTGCTAAAAAATAAAATAGTTAAATATTAATTGTATTGTTTTCGGTGACTTTTTATAGAAAATGTTGCCTTAACTGTACTGCGTTATCAGCGTTCTTAAAAAATTCCAATTCAACATGTAATTATGTATGTAAATAGCTAGTGTTTAGTAGTTTAGTAGTAGTGCTAGTTGTTTTTGTTTCTCTTTTTCCTTTGTTATTATGACATTTTACTTTTTAACTTTTTTCTTCGTCCTGAGGAAGGGTCAGGGCGTCCCAAAAATTTGACAATTTAAATTGTTCGTGACGTTGGTCATTTTTAGTGCATATATATATATATATATATATATATATATATATATATATATATATATATATATATATATATATATATATATATATATATATATATATATATATATATATATATATATATATATATATATCGCACAGGGAAATTCACTTTTATAAGGACACTCACTTCCGCCCCAACCCGGGGTTGAACTCTCGACCTACGGAATCTGTCTCCTAGCAGTGCAGGAACAGCTCGTTAGACCGCTCGGCTATCTAGGCAAGTTATTAAAACTTGCTTTCGATGCCGATGGAATTCTCGCAACGCTGCCCTACACTACACGGTCATTGAAAATAGAAGTGAGATACAGTTATTTGGCCATTAGTTTTTAGAGGATTGTTCCCAATACATGTTGTGATGAAATTAGTTTGATTGATAAAGTACAATTTACAACAACTCTTAAACTAATATAACTGCCCTAAGTGAAGAAAAATTAATATAGAATGCACAGGGAAATTCACTTTTATAAGGACACTCACTTCCGCCCCAACCCGGGGTTGAACTCTCGACCTACCGAATTTGTCTCCTAGCAGTGCAGGAACAGCGCGTTAGACCGCTCGACTATCTAGGAAAGTTATTAAAACTTGCTTTCGATGCCGATGGAATTCTCACAACGCTGCCCTACACTACACGGTCATTGAGAATAGAAGTGAGATACAGTTATTTGGCCATTAGTTTTTAGAGGATTGTTACCAATACATGTTGTGATGAAATTAATTTTATTTATAAAGCATAATTTACAACAACTCTTTAACTAATATAACTGCCTTAAGTGAAGAACTATTAATATAGAAAGCACAGAGAAATTCACTTTTATAAGGATACTTTCTTCCGCCCCAACCCGGGGTTGAACTCTCGACCTACGAAATCTGTCTCCTAGCAGTACAGGAACAGCGCGTTAGACCACTCGGCTATCTAGGAAAGTTATTAAAACTTGCTTTCGATGCCGATGGAATTCTCACAACGCTGCCCTACACTACACGGTCATTGAGAATAGAAGTGAGATACAGTTATTTGGCCATTAGTTTTTAGAGGATTGTTACCAATACATGTTGTATGTATATATATATATATATATATATATATATATATATATATATATATATATATATATATATATATATATATATATATATATATATATATATATATATATATATATATACAGGGTGAAAAGTTTATTTCTGTTATCTTTGAAAAGGGAAAAAATTGAAACCGAAATATAAATAAAGAGATACTGATAAGTCCCGTAAACAACTTCCCAGTTCAAAAAATTTTCAAACTCTGGGGTGGGGCCAATATTCAACAGGGTCAATTTTCAACTTGTTGAGGTCATCAGGGATAAGAAAAAAAATTATCAATCTGTTGAAAAATGACCCTGGGTATAAATTCAACGACATTTGGTCTCAATTTTCAACGTTGAAAAAACACCTTTGGTTCAATATTCAACGTTTAAAAATGAACCTCGGGTCAGTTTCAATTCGGGTCAATATTCAACGTTACACCTTTAATAATAAACACATAAGCTATTTCTAAGATAATATATAATGCTTGCATATTTCAAAATCCAAGTATCGACTTTATCAAAAATGTTTCAAAGATCATATATAATTTTATCTGGAAGAAAAGAGATAGGATGAAAAGAAATACTCTAATTGTCAGTGGTAACAAGTTTCGGGCATCCAACTCAGAAATCGATATCGTCTTCACATGATTCTCTACCGTATCGAAATCGTTTATGCCACTAAAAGACAAGTGATCTTGATTCATTTTGATTCAATCGGGTTTGTTCAAATAATGCACCAAGGAGGTATATTGGGATCACAATGGACGATCAAAGTTAAACTTTGGAATATATGGGGCCATCCTTAAAACCTTCTTCTCAAGAATCACAGGGCCAGAAAAGATGAAATTCATGTGAAATCACCCTCAGGTTTGTTCAAGTTCTTCAAATTTGTTCTTCAATTTGTTCACCTCCAAACCATGGCTGAAATATTGCCGAATCGGTGTTATACGATATAAAAATTAATCAAAGTTGTTGAAGTCATAACTCACAGAAACCGGAGGATGAGGCCAAGAATAACACTACTATGATTTGTTAATATGGAAGTATCCTTAGGTACATGTAGTGTTGATCTAACTTTATTCAAATCATGACCCTTGTGGGTAGGGTGGGCCATTATGAGCAATAAAAGCTTATCATATCAATATATTGGAAAAATTTTCAAAAATCTTATTCTCGTAAAACAGCAAAGCCATGATTAGTTATATTAATATGGGATGTGGGGTGAGTTTTTACTAGGGATATATACTTATATATCTTTAAAAAATGTTGGGAAACAGCAAACCTATGATTAGTGATTTATTTATATGAAAATATTAGGGATGTCAAATCGGTCAATTTTTAATATTCGGTTACTCGGACGTTTTTCCGATTGAGTATCCGGGTACTCGGTAGGTAAAGGTGTAAATAAATATGAACAAGTAAACATTGTAAACTCTTGTAGAAATAAAACCACATGCTTTCATAGAAGGTTTACCCGTTAGTGTATCTCTGTTGTAACAACGAAGAGCACTTCGTGTCCGAAGATTAACATAGCATCGTTTATGTTCTATTTATTCATCAGATAAACACAAGAAATAAAATCATTAGGAAGTTCACAGATTTTTTGTTTCAAAAATTTATCTGCTCCGTATATTGTAATGAAATTCTTTGTTGCCTTTGACGTCCAGGCATTAATCAAACAGTTTATTGAACTTGATCAAGTTCGCCTAACAGAGCGGATTTACGGTTTTACATGTAGTACACTTTTCAAACATAGATTTTCTAGTATTACGGTATTTTGTAGTTTGGCGCAATGATGGACATATGTTTTTGTTAAGCCTTCGGCCTCAACCATTTGTATTGGCAGATAATCAAACACAACCATATCAACAATTGCACGGGCAATATCATCTGTCTCTTTTCCCGAGAATTTTTAAAAGACTTATTGCAGAATTGACAAGATTGTCCAATTTATAAAATGGTAATAGACTATAAACGATGTTCAGTGAAAACAAATAATTAAAGTTGATCAAAAATAAGGGTAGAAGACAGTCAAAGGTGAGAAAAGCCAGGTTACAGGTGCTTGGTCACGATAATTACGCAGGTAGGTTAAGGTTACAACCAAATATTCTACTTGCCTATATAATATGACGTCATAGTAAGCTATATGACATGACATTTAGAGATAACAATTTCTTATAATCGATATCTAAGATTGATTTGAGGTCGTAAAAATTAATAAAAATATGCAGAGGCATAATACAAACAGAATTTTGTAGTTTCTGGGTCTCTTTAGTTATCACAGGGGTTAAATTCCAAACCCGTGACGTCATAACTGTTGATCATGCAGTAGCAGAGTGAATGTGAAACGTAACGAGAATTCATGTAAACAAACACAAGAAATCGGAGTTTAAATCATTTAGAATGAATATCATGTGTAATTCATGTGGGAAAAAAGCTTATAAATAAGGTATGGTAATATACTTCAACGATTTCTTCGTAAAATTAAAGCAGTGACGTCGTGGTGAAGTGCTTCATGTAGTATAACGTTAAGTCCCATTGAAGTCTGTAGAATGCATATTTATAACAAAAGTTTTATGCTTGACTTTTCCGATTTATAAGTGTTACATAATTATAAAAAAGTCTTAATTCGCCGAATTCTGGTCCATGTGCTGCCTTAACATACCTGCGTACTGTATAAACACTGCCACGGGCGATAACGTTCATTTAGAGGAGTAGGAAACCCTAATTACTGTATGTACAAATGCAATGAGTATTTTACGTTTTAAAACAGATTGTTTAATGCATTAATAATTAAGCTAAGAAATATTCAAAAATATACATCCGAGTAACCGATTTTAGAATTCGATACTCGGACGTTCGATCGAGTACCCGGTTAACCGGGTACTCGTTGACATCCCTAGTAAATATTGGAAGCATCCACAAGCGCTTTAGATTCAGGTTTGTACAGTGATCCACGGGATAAGAATGTGGACACACTGAGATACTTAAGTTTTAAATGACATAATATGGGGAAAAAGTTATGTTTAATCAAGTTAACATTAAAGCATTCACATATAGAGATGATTCTTTTTTTTTCAAATCATGACTCGGGAGAGAGGTACAAATGCACAGAAATCTTTAATAAATCATCTTTTCAATAACGGCAAAGTCATACATGAACATGCAGGCTTAATTCATATGATGGGATCCTCAAGTAGTACATATGAAATATTCAAGTCCCCCATCCCTAGTAAACTTTTCATTACTGAGCTAATGTGTGGTTTTGGATAGCCCATGGGCTCAGGTGAGCTATGTTGCCCGTAGGCTTCTTGTTTCACAATCTAAATGACAACCCTCTTAAAGATATATTAAAGTTGCAAAAAGATTGCTTTTGTAATAAATATCCATTTATTTATTACTATAGAAGAAACCAGAAACGGAGAGTGACGAGTCTTTTTATAACAAATTAGAGAAGTGTTTACCCGAGGAGCACACACTGAAAGGTCTTATTTCGCACGCACGTTACTATGAAGTAGAATGTCCATAGGAAGGTTTGAATGAACACCAAGGAGAAATGATAGAAAATGTCAGAAAATGTATTGTTCGTGCTGCACGAAGCCTCTCTCATTGGGGTGAAAAAATACCATTAAAATGGACAATGTTTGAGCAGTTAATTAGAGAGAAAAAGGAGAAGGGGATGACAATTCTAAGCAGAAATAAACTTTTAAAAATGAAGGAATTTAAACCATTAAACGTAAAGGAAGTGGACGATATGCTAAGATATTTCAAAGAGATAGGTCTAATTATTTATTTTGCAGAAGAATTTCTAAAAGAAAATGCTATCAATGACGTTCAGTGGTTTGTAGATGCATTCAAAAATATTATAACTGATCCAACTCATGCTGAACCTTTTTGCGAAAGGGTCAAGGAATGGAAGATATTCATGGAAACTGGCAAGATATCTGATTTTACACTTGTCAAGATATGGGGAGAAAATTCTTCGTATGTTTCTCAGAAAGACATCATTGCACCCTACATGGAAAAACTTAGCTATAGTACGAACAGAGGAAGCTGCTGAAAAGGAAATTGGACCTGTTTACTTCATTCCTAGCATTAATAAAACTGAATTCACCAAAGAATGTATGGCGATAACGGAAAATGTCAACAAAACTCCCATATTAATATTTTCTTTCAAAACTTACATCCCTCATTTCTTTTTCTTTAGACTTGTAGCTTTATGCTTCTCTGTTTGGGAACCATTACGTGATGACCTACTCTGCAAAAACATTGCATTTTACAAAGATAAAGGTGGTGACCGAAACATTGCTATTGCAGTAAACAAAACCTCTATTCAGTTACAAGTGCTTACACCGGATAAAGCAATCCAGCTGACAAAAGACAAAATTAAACAGATCAGATCAAAGAGTGAGAGGATGATGAATGACATAACATCCACATTCCATCAACAAGTTCTCTTTGAAGTCGGATACACGTGTAAAGATATAAATATCACTGAGGAGGATGAAGATTTCTTTTTAAGTGAGAAAACAGTGGCAGAACTGACAACCAACAAAAGAATTTGCCCCCATCATGTACCCCCAACGAAGCATGAGAAACACGACATAGTTCGTGACAATTTGTTGTATTATTGGTACACGGTAAGGATTTTTAAAAATTAGATTAAAAAAAAAAACAAAACAAAAACAATGAGAAAATTTATTAATATGAGTTGATTGCATTCATTTCCTCAATGTTATCTATTAATTAATTATTTTTTTTTATAATATTAGTTCAAAAATAATTTCTTATGCTTTTTTCAAATTATTTAATTTCATTTTAGGGCACTGAATAACGTACTAGAAGCAGCGTTCATTGTTTCAAAGCAATTTTAGCATCTCCAGAAATCAAGAAAGTGGATTACTCTGAACATTTTGCGCAACAACCTATTATTTTTCCATACTTATTATTGACTAATGATAGTGTATGTACATAAATTTTAACTTGTGTAGTCACGAAAAGATTGAAAAAAATTTACTAAGGACTGATCCTCCGTTGACCTTCTTTTTAAGAAGAGATGAGATTGATACTGAAGAAATATCACTGAGTAATTCAAATTATTTTTTTACATGTATCATTGTATAAACAAATCTTTTTCTTTTTTTTTTTTTTTTGCTTTTTGCTATCAATGTAGTATATATCCTCCGCTCTTATTCTGACCCTGTCAACGTTTTTGTTATAACAAAAAAAATATTCTTCGATGAATGAGCAAATAATGATAGAGTATTTGAAACAAACGAACGCAAAATACCTAATGTTTTTTTAATTGAGTTGATTTTCCTGACAATATATTCAATGAAAGATATTTTAATTGGCAATTTAAATAATACAATGTCCAACCTAACAAAGAAAAAAATGAAAAATGAAACTTTTTCAGCAAAATAAATGTTTTTATCCACTTTAAGCTTATAATAACGAACTAATATGTCTTTTTACTATACATGTGATCATAATAAAGTACACTTATTCTCAAAGCCTTTGAAAATTTATGTTCAAACATATTCAAAATTATACTGATATCAAATAATCTTAAATACATTATAAAATACATAATCTAACATACATTTTATTTCACCGAGAAATTCCAATTCCTCTATTATAGTTTTTTGTTGCACCCCCCCCCCCCCTGGTTCTGTAATTTCCATTCATATTTTAATTACTCATATGTTAATAATAAAAACATGAATTCGTATACAATTAACATGTATATTTTATTGTATATTTATATAAATACATGATTGTGTACTATAATTAGCTTGTTGATTGTGTCAAGATTTTTTAACATTTTTTGTTTCCTTGTGTGTTTCTTCTCATACTTTCTATAGTTATCATGTAGTACATTTTGAATTCACTTGTTGAAGGTAAATGCAAATTTTACAAATTAAAGAATAGAAAGGTTTTGGCGGGAATTGCCTCCAACTAGTAAATTAAACATTTACAAGATACTATTCAAGTGGTAAAATGTATTAATTTACACAAATATTTCTTACATTTATTGTCCTCCGTGTGATAGAAAAAAAGGCTTAGTCCGTGAATAAATATAAATGAATGATAACAGAATAATTTCACTGGACACAATTAGGAAGTGTGACACAAAGTGAAAACATAAAAATAATTAAATTAATTAGATATTAAGTTTAAATAAAAACAATAATCTTATCTTGATCAATTTAAATTTCAAATGGGAAATATACAAACTTGCACATTATTTCCCGATCAGAAAAAAATCTTTGTATTTACTGTGATGAGATTCATTATTCATGGGGGATTTAATTTTCATTGTTTTTGAGATAAATGTACGAAAATAACTGCAAATTCTTGAATCATGACTCATTTTAATCATGAAATGTATTTTTACAAACATTACTTCATTCAAAGAATCAATTTCTCACGTAACCAGAACTTTTCTTCACAAAAGCATGTGATTTAACAGTGGTATAGTCTAAACAAGATACCTCTATGCCACAATGTTCACAAGATTAATAATTCTATTTTCGGGGGTCCATTTTATTCCATATTGAAAGGTCAATCTCAATTTATCTTGCAAACTACTTGCCTCAATTCATCAATTTTTCTTTTCTAAATTCTAAATTCAAGAAAAAGACTTCTTGATGTTAAATCAAAACAACGACGACCTAATGCCTTGCTTTCAAGGCGGCTGCATGTGTCCCATTCTGGTGATGAACTCCAGTAGATACATCTGTAGTCTGACGTCAATGCTCTTGTTGGTGACATAGAACCCCGGAACTCCCGCCTTCTCCAACATGACCTGCTGATCCATCACTTTCTGATCTAGCTCCATGATTATCTTTATGTCCTTCTTCTTCACCTCTTCTTCACACCTCTTCTCCATTGTCTGAAAAAGGGAAATCATAAGATGCTAAAGTCTAAATTTATGATGACTAAGATTTGAAATGAACATCAGAAATATGTAATATAGTAAAGATTGACTGCAATCAATGTTCATTTTATTGTCAATTGGAAAAGTCTAAAAATAAGATATATTACTAGGAAAAGACGTTAAAAGTAATGTAACAACCAAGTTCTGTGATAAACGTGATGACTTTAACGTTACAATCGTCAACTTCCCAATATCCCATACTTCTGCAACAATCTACCCTTGTCACCTGCATATGAAGTTTATATCTCTAGGTTGACGCGATATGGAAGAGCATACTCTACTTATGAATATTTTCGAAAATGATGTAAGTAATTGACAAATTGAAAGGCTGCAATGGCGTCGAACAAGAAAGATAGTAATTGCAAAGGATCTGAAGATACGTCAAGTAAGTGACTCGGGTAACATACAGTCATGTAATTATAATAAAATAAAAAGAAGTTTTAATACAAATACAGTCGGGGGCCTTATGTCCTGGTCCGAATGAAGTAGTGTTCGGATTGACCAGACATCGTCAGAAATGTTCGCACTCAATATCAAAACTATTTTATAATTTCTTTTCAATCAGTCGAAGACATGCATGTGTATGATAGGTTACGTAAATTTATGTATTATTTGTTATAATTGCCATTGTCAGGGTGTTATTCTACAGTATACATGTGGTTATTGCATTTAAAACCACGACTATATTGTTACAAGTACGATCGCGTTATCATAGGAAACGGTAAACAGAGGTAATGGATAAATAACAGTAATACTGGTCAATATTATGGGTTGTTCGGATAAAATTGGATTGAAGATTGTAATGTAAAGCTACACTGTAAGATTAAGAAATTCAATCTTTATAGTCCTGTAAGATTCGTGCTTATTTTGTAATTATTTTACCGTCTTGAAGGTTGTTTGTATTACAGTATTGAATCGGTCCCAAAAATGTGATTCATGTCATTCGACGCACTCTCTCTGTAGAAATTCATCCCCAACAACCATAACGTTTTTAGTGTAAAATTTATATACAATATCGTAGTTTTGTAGTAGATTAATTTAAGATACAAATTGACATAATTTTATATTCAAGCTATTAATTATCGTGAGCGTTTTCAAAGAAATTGGTTTACAGCTGTTGCTACTTTTCTATTGCGGATGCTTGTTGATCCACTGACACATTCGATTGTGTAAATCTGACCGATCATTAGATGATGCCCGAGCTTCGCTCCACGCCATAAAAAGTAGCAAGAATATCAAGAGTCTGGTTTAATGTCATTATTTAGTAAGTTCTATGGTCGAAAGAAGGAGCTTGTTAACAGGAGCTTGTTTACAAATACAATCTATCCGAGAGCTTCCCTAGGATGCTTCCATATAAGTTTCAGCTTCTCTGGGCTAGTTATTTGTAAGTGAATGATTTTTTAATGACCACACCACATTCAGTTGTTTCAGAAATAATTTTTTCACCCATGGTATGATAATAACACAAATTATCTAACTCAGAAACACAGCCAGTACCCCCTCCTCAGAAACGCACTAATGTAAAATTTAAGAGGAAATGAATTACACTCGTCAATGATCACCGAGGTTAGACTCATTCACACAGCCGATATTAAGGTTATTTATAAGCAAATAAAAGTTCACTTACAGGAAAATATTTTCCTTCCTATTGTACGGGAACTAGATATATTAAAAAATGTTAAAATTTCATGTAACATGTCGATAACATTTTCACTTTTCAAGTATTCCCACATTTCTGCCGAATGTCAATCAAAAGCGCCCTCGTTCTTTACAATTTTATCAGTATCCTTCAGCATATGACTGTTAAACACATTCTCTGTAAAATTTACGTGTTCTTTTTAAAATATATTTTCAATAGATTTTGAAAATATTTCAAAATGATATGTTATCGCATAGCAGATTTCTTTTAGCGGAGTGCTAGTTTTAGCATATTTTGATGTTTTGATAGTAGCCCGCAAAATTTTAATCGCTAAAGTATTTAGTACCCTTTTTAGTGTTCACATGAAAGGAGTAGAAACCCTGTGTCTGCTAAAATTAATTAGGCCAAAATTGTTGGTATACCTTTGAGATGGAAAAATTACACATCCACCAACAAAACACACAATGCGGTATATTTTTGAAAAATTCTTTTGATTAAAGATATGTAATGAGGCTTTTCATCACATAAATATAATGTATCTTATAAAATTATTTTTTTTACCCTAAGCATCTTATTTGGAAATATTTTATTTCATTAAAAATACATAGTGAAAAAAACTTATCTAAACGATGTAAAAAAAAACAAAACAAACTAATAACGACCACTCAATGCTGAAATCAATACTTTATTGAGATATCGGAAAAATCTGTGAAAAAAAGTTACGGCATTCATTAATTAAGGTGAAATATATAACTACAAAACTGATATTACTAACTTCGAAGTTAGTATTTATCCCCTATTAATTAGCTTTACATTCTGTATAGGTAAACTTTCCATCTTTTTAATCTTTTTAAACATATAACTTGACTCTAAATTGATTCTCTTAATAGATGTCACATTTTCAAATTCTTTATACTGAATAATAATTCAGTCTTCAAACGAAGACAAAAAGTACATAATAAAGTTAATCGACGGACGACGCACAAGTTGGTGAAATAAGAGTAATACGTCATCTGAGTGGCTCAAAAATGATCCAAAATTAACCTTTATGCATTACCATATATCATACTAGTAATGAAGCCTTGTCGCTAAGAAAATGAATTCATTTTATTTTACTTTATTTTACACCATCACCTTTTTTTGAAAAATAAAAAAAATCAAACTTGCAAGTTTTGTGTTATTAGACTAATTCTATTTGAATATTATAACAGAATACTTTTTAAATTTTGTCATCCATTTAAAAATCAAAGTACTCAGAAGTACAGAGACCCGGGCTCATTTACAGAGTAGAATGGATTTCGTACATGAATCACGTTTATATTCTGATGAAAAAATATTTCAAAACTATCAATATAAATGATACATGTAAGACACTGACAGTGAGTTTTTCAATCCTAATACAACGGTCCGATTTTGTCAGAATCAGAATTAATCTGGTAGCGCAGCTGAATGTAAACAAACAGGCCAGTCTGGTTCTCTCTCCTGCTTTACCTCGTACGTGTAGAGAACTACGGTGACACTGATTATCAAAAATCCTTACGCTATTGAACTATGTTCTTTGACTTATGAAGGTTTCAAAGTTATTACTTCCAATGTTTATTTTATATAGATAAAACTTCGTTTTATTTTTGTTGCTTCATTTAGCGTTTGTATTATCTCAAAAGCGGTTGCGAGTAAGAACTATATTTCTGCACGTAACTTTAAAATGGCGACTAAGGGGTCAACATCCTGCCTTGAACAGGATCACATAAGCCGGCAATTGTTCTTTGAGCAATAAGCCCGACTAAAAATGTTGAGAACGCCTATCATTTGCACGATTGCATATGGTACATTCAAACATGGTGTTATTTAACCTTCTGTCATTGATAACGAGAGAGTAGTGCTATCATTTGAAAATAAAATATAAATATTGACGTACAAATGTATGCTCATCTACATGTATATTTTTATAAAAATTATATTTTTTTATTGCTTGAAGCTGAAAATGATATTTAGTTGTACTTTCAAATTTTATCATTCCGCAACCGTAGCATTTTAGCTAGTAGTTAATGTATATCAATGAATCAAAGCCGTTTTAGTTTTATCTTTAAAGTTCACGGTCAATAAGTGATAAATTGTCTGATTCAATATCAGGATAGTAGGTGTTGCACTGACATGTTTTACATTTACTGTAATAAATAATAAACGTTATTTAAATGTGAACTAAGGAAAATTCCTGTACGAAAAGCGAGCGATAAGGAATGAAGTAAGTAAAGTTATTTCAAAACAACTTTCTCTTATATTTTTTACAACCTTTGAATTTAATCCGTAGGAAATAACACGTATTTCTAATCGACTTTCGCTTTAAAAGTCAATGCATTGAAGGAAATAGCGTATTGTAATGAGATTTGTTTCAAAAGGGGATGTTAGTTTGTTGTTAAACATCTTACTTGAGAATTTTTCACTTATATGGGGACGCCGCCCCGAGAGGAAAGGACTGACTCCTTACTCCTCGACTATAGAGAAGACGCTCCTCGACTGTAGCCACGCCTAATTAGGACTGCTTTATTCATTTTCAAATTATTTTGTGATTATTATATACGTAAAGTGCCTTGACATAAATGCATTGCACAATGATTTTGCATGAGAAACCATAAGTTCAAACAAGAGAAATTATCATAAGAAAATATTTAGTAAATATAATTGTCGCATATCTGTTGTGATATTCTTTGATCTTTCTGTGGTGATATATCCCACATCACATATGCAATAATACTTTCCACACCCCTTCATATATCACTGCAGAAGGCAGAAATAGGGCCATGAGAAAAAAACTGATTTTATTTCACATAAGTTCATTACTACAAAAAATGAACATGTTAAGCTATATTTAGCCTTTAACTAAATTAACATACATTATTTAACTCGGTTGAAAGTTTCCAGTCGTTCAAAAGATTAATCTATTTTGAAATTTTGAAAGTTACGGTAAATCTGCAAAACTTTTTATCGTTAAACTCTTTGATATTTGCTTCAGAATCCGTGATTTCATATTTGCCGAGTGCCTGGATCAAAAATAAATAGTCAAAATCTTCAAACTAGGTTAAAAAGTCGAAGTCAAATGACTAAGAACGTCCGACATGTTGGAGAGCTATTTTGAAATGAATTTTAAGTTAATGACACGCTGAACATTTTTTTTATTAAATTTTGACACTCTCAATGAAATTGACTTCATCAGACATGCGACAAGTTGCTTACAGGAGCGCCCTCGATTTCCACGCCCCATGAAAACGATATAATCAATACTACTCGGCTTGTAACCTATACTTTGTGAATGTACATATGTATTTCACAAAAGTTTTTAAAAAATATTTTTACAGGTTCTTCTATGGATAGGATGGGAATGATATATTTTTGATATAAAACAATCATGCAGACTTTGTTATAAAAAAGTACATTAAATTCAACTTCTATTACGTCTCTAGCTCGAGCAATCAGATAGGAGGATATTTCGGATGAACGCATGCTCCTCTTTCACGGAAGGGGCTTCTGGAAAATCTACTGTTGATAGATATTACGATAAAAATTTTGTTTTGTCATACAAAAGTATACGTAGATATGATCAGAATGAACAAAAAAATACAGTAGCTCAGGTTTTATAAAACAAATACTGCTACACGTGTATTTTAAAATTTGTATCCAATGCATTGCTTTTCTGATCTACCTTCATAGGTCTTTTCTACAGGGCTTGGATGTTTCAGAGCTTGCTAGAAAGACCCTAGAATTTGCAAATGTTTAAAAACATTAATACACTTAAATATTTTTAAAAAGACAATAGGTTCCTAGGTAATATATTTTTTTGAAACATTGTCTTTCAAGTAAAGTTATTTTTACAAGTTAACTCTCAAAAAATGAGGTACCTTACCGGGCATTTGTGCTAGTTACCATGGGGTGGTGCTGCTTATAAAATCCTTTTGGATATAACATGCAGAAATTTAAAAAACGCTACGTTATGTATTTTTTTTAAACAATTTTAAATAAGATAACCTACATGTATTATAAAATATTTTTTTGTAAATTATTTACTCAGCTCTATGACATACAACACAGAAATCCTATGATATTAAGCCTGATTTTCACATTATTGAATCTTTAATGAATTGATTACAGTTTATATGACAACTTTTCACCACATAGTTTCAATGTGAGAAACTGGAAAACAAGGGCTATTCGAGACACTGAATTATAAATGAATGGTAAAGAATCAGTAAACTAAAGTGAAATAAGCTGCTGTTTAACTTGTTAGAAATGCTAAATAAATATTTACTGAAAATTACAGCAACTTATGTTCGTTTTATTGGCATGTTAGCAGGTGTATTTCAAGAAAAATGATTAATATAATGAGTATCAAAAAATGGGTACTGTCCTTGTTGACAATGGATTACAACAACCAATGTACTTATCCACGTTTGTCTGAAATTCATACAGAAAATGAAAATTGAATCCATTGCTTTAAATCTTCAAAACAAATATTTTCACTAAGATACACTTGGCAAAAACAGCCAAGGTATGAAAAGGGAAAGAATTAAGAGAGCACACAAACCATTTTGTAAGCTATTTTCTTTAAACGTTACTGGTCTTGTTGTGCAAAATCTAATTTGGGGAGGCAGTTCAATTTCTGGAGCAGACTAAAAGCCAAATTTTTGCAAAAAATCTTAAGATTTTTGAGAGGAAGGAACCAGAATCACGAATCCACTATATTAGATTTATTCATAACAGCGTCCGAATCCAATGTCATAATAAGTAAAGGGGTTTGGGGGATAACGACAAAGCTAATTTTTCACACCAACTATATTCGCCAGATTTTTCACCATTTGATTTGGTTCACTTTCAAAATTGAAAAAAAACTTTAAGAAAGGAGAAACGAGTATTGGAAATCATAGGATCTGCCATATCGCAGTGTACATGTATAAAGGGCCATACTCAAAAGGATGTTCTAAATCAATCAGAAATAGGGGAAAAATATTTCAGATATGTACTTTAATTAAGATAGAATATTTAATATTAAAGTAAAATCATTACGCAGCACAGTTAAGGTTACAGTAAGGAGGCGGGGCCTAATTTGTACGGGAAATGTTTACTATGACGTCACACATAATATAAGGTATTCAAATTACCAGAAAATGAAATTATCTGCTATTTCAAACAGCTGGATAGCTGTATACTACATACAAACTTACTATCACATGTAGTTTTGTTGTTTCTTAAATCCCACACAACAGTATACAAGAAACATATATTGACGCAAGCGTCAAAAATCGGCCGCAAATCAATTAATTGTTCCTTTTATGAAGCATCTAAAGACTGAAATGGTGATGTAGATCTGTTTTTAAACACCCAATTTTATGTTAACGCCCCCAAAATCTACCTGATTCAAGATCAATAATTCACCGCCTGTGAATCATTAAAAAAACAATAGCTTCTGATTTGATTGACAGGTAAGCTACCTGTGCCTCCTGATAATCTGAGTTTGCATGTTTTAAGAGCCAGTCCGCGAGAAAACCATGCAAAATTAAAAAAATCGTCCAAATGGAAGGTTGCAACTTGAGAATTTTGAGTGGCTTAAAATTTTCTACATAACGGTAGAAGTCAGAATATCCACAAAAAAATGTCGAACCCAGCATCTATTTTTAGTAACAGCTCATTTGCATATTTGTCGAAAATCACACAAAATTTAATGGAAAATGTATACAAATTGATCAAGTCAAAAAGTTACCTTTTGTCATCAGTTTATTTTCAAATTTTGTTTTATTTTCAAAGTCATGGTCCAATTAACACAATTAATGAGGAAAAACTTAATTCAAATGAATATTTTATTTTTTACACATCTATTTATAGATCATAAATAAATGAGTATGATTTTTTAGCCATTTTTAGATGCTCGTTTCTCTCAAGACCAAGGTTGAAATTAAATCAAATTAATTGTTACTTTAGGAATGATCTAAGGTCAACTCTGTATTAAAATATTGAGCTTGGGAAATAATATCTACATGCTGTAAATTAACTTTGAAATACCATATTTTGCTACAATTTCACATATTTTAAATAACAGTCTTTTGTCATATTTTTGGATTATTTCTATGATGTTTAAAGAAAAATAGAAGATTCTTAATCTAATATATTTTTTAGAAGAGGAATAACTGATTTGGACACGTCATATAACTTTCCTCTGCTTATTTTACCCCCTTGTTACCAATTTCCTGGAGTTAAATTGTTATCTCCCCTTGTTGGAACTCTTTTGTATTATTGGGTAAAAAGTGACAGGTATGTCAATATGGACAGAAGAAAATCATGTATGATCATTTTTTCTTCACCTTGGGAGTTATTGTGGAGCATTATTGCATAATGAAAGAGGGAAAACTTATTTTAAGATATTTGAATGTAAAAAATAACAATTTAGCTTGAATTAACAAATACATGTAACAGGCCCATGGAAGCAATTTCAGTGTGGGGGAGGGGGGACAACCTACATTATCAACTATTAAAAAATACAAAGAATTCCATAGAAAGTAAAAAAAAATAATAAAAGGCCATCAGATGTTTTTTTTTTATTTGGGGCATATACATGTAGTAGGTATGTTTTCTATGGGGTTCTGTCCTCGGGGAATCTACGTGTATTTCATGGTAATTAACAGATACAAAATTTTTCTAACAAGTACAATATAATAGGAAAATAAGGAAATTAAATCAAATAATAAGTTAAATAACATATTTTTAATCAAAATATACATTTGATATTTTGTTTAAGGCACCTGGCCCCGTTCAAGTTCAAGATCATTTTTATTCACTCAAACCATGTCAGGTGCATGAGGACAATGAAGAATATTTACAATATATAAATTCAGGTCAGAGGACAAGTATATGATATACATAATCAGAATATGAAAAAGAAAAGAAAAACACTTAAGAAACATGTAATAATGAAATATTAAGCGAGGGATCGAAAAATCATGGAGGAATGACTAACTAAAATCATATATTTCAATATAAACGCACGTAGTTTTCTTAGTGTCTTAGAAACTTGTCTTGTCATCATTTGAGAAAATATAAGAATACAAACAGGTATTTGATTGCATACTCTCAACAAATTCAAAAATAATTTGTAATTTCAATCTACACGTAAATTGTTTAGGTTTCATAAATTTAGTGTGTTTTTGAGTTAACCAAACACCGTCGTTCCTAAAAATATTTTTAATTTTACATTACATACTTTAAACTACTGTGTTACGTAACATTCATATATTGAATGAATGAACTCAGACCTCACATTAAAAATCATCAGCTCGAAAGAAGATGCCACCAATTTAGGTACCCCACCGATATACCGTAGGACCCTCCACGATAAATATTCGCAAAATTATTCGTAGGAGGGTACTACCCCCCCCCCCCCCAAGAAAATATGAGTCGTTACTGCAGCCAAAACTTTGCTAGTTTGCAGTACATAGTGGTAAAAATTTAACACTGACTATAAACATGATAAAAGACTGTGTAGTGGACAGTATATAGGGAACTTATACTGCATCGCCAGTGAGCTAGCTTTTCTGATGATGCGGTAGAGTCTCCCTCCAGGCAAGTTAAGCAACGGCGAGCCTGTTTAACCCTTGGATGGGTGACCCCTTCACGTTGCAAAATATGTGGCAGCGTATTGCCTCTGGGTGTCTGGTGTCCTGCTTCAGGAAGTCTTAGAGCTAGGACTTTCTGTCCATATACAGACTTCGTGTCTGTGGACGGCAGGGGTTGCCGTATCTGAAGTCAGGTTCCGATCTGCTTCAGAAAGCTCTAAGACTAGGACTTTGTGTCCAGGTACGGACTTCGTGTCCGGGAACGGCATTGGTTGCCGTAGCTGAAGAGGCCCAAATACTCAGAGAGAACTCATGCTAAGCTTCGGGTCGAAGCACATGTAGCCGACAGTATATAGGGAATGTATGCTGCCCCGCCATTGATAAGAGTAAACTCCAGCATCTTTCATTTTCTTAAACTCCTTTATGGAGCTTTTTGTATAAATCCACTGTCAGTATTTTCATAAGATTGTACCAATTTAAAATTGGCATAAAGCAAACAACTAGCTGCAGAACTGTAGCTCTCCGAAAAAACATATATTGATAGACCGGAGAGCTACAGTGCCACCCATTGAAAAAACTGTATATTTATTGCGCATAAAAAATGCGCTGTTTCTCGATTATTTCTCCGTGTTCTTAAAACTGTCATCTCAAATTTCACAGGTGCTTGAGGACAGGACACCCCCCCCCCCCTTCGATAGGCTTTTTTTTATCATAAGATATCTTTCATTGCCATATTTGTGATAAGATCTATACCAGCAAATCGAAAAATTACCTAAAACAAACGTTCTATTAAATCTACCCTACATTCTCTATATGAAAATCATATAGAGAGGGTAGATATTATAAAATGTAAGTTTAAGCAAATTTTCTGAATTGATAGGATAGATTATATCACAAATGTGTCATCCATATATAATTTATGTGAAAAAAGTCTAACAGGCCCGGGGGTCTATATTGGGGGGGGGGGGGGGTTCCTGTCCTCAAGCACCTTTGATTTAAACCATGCCGTTAATTTATCAACATGATAAAGGAGTAAGGACTGTATTGAAATCTAGCCTTTTTTGCAATAGAGGTAAGAATTTGGAAGAATTAATCCAGAACCAAGCGCATTTTTTATGCGCAATGAATATACAGGTGGCACTGTAGCCCTCCGGTCTATCAATATATATTTTTTCGGAGAGCTACAGTTCTGCAGCTAGCAAACAACTTACTGAAGGCTCAAATTTTACATGTTCAAGTCTCAAAATTTATATGAATGATACTGAGTCCGTTTGAATTTAAATGCTTGTAATTTCCCTTTTATTAGTTATAAAGAAACTAACTTACAAATGTAAGGAACATATATGTTAATATGATTGTTGAAAAATTGCAAGTAAGCCAATACAATTTATTATGTTCTTTTTTTCATTTCTAAACAATTGGCAAAATGCTAGTCCTCATATTAGGGGTATTTTCTGACAATTTAGTTTTATTTAATTTTTAATTTTAATATTTTTCACTTTTAATTATCATTTCAAAGAAAATTTTTACATGTTTCAATATCTAACAACAATTGTTTATAATTTAAAGTACTATATTTGACTGTAACCCATTTGAGTTTGAGCAATTTTTTCGAAAATTGGCAATTTGTAAATCCCCATATCTCAATTATTTATTATTTCCCAAGCTCAATATTTGGCAAAGATAATGTTTAGAGTTATATTTGAATAATAAAGTCAAAAATATTAATTTCAAAGATTGGTCTTGGAAGATTTGGGGCATTAAATTTGTAATACTTTTGGCAATTCTTGAAAATTGGCATCATGCCAATTTTCAAGAGTTGTCTGCCCTGTGATATATTGCATATTTGATTATGATAAATGTCAATTTTGAAAGAAAATAGCCTTATTTTATTCAAAATACCTTAATGGAAATGCAAGTTTAATTTTGAGTAAAATAAATCAAATGTGAATTTTACCATTTTTCTTGAATTTTTTAAGTGCATTTGCACTTAAGTGTGCAAAAAGGAGGTGGCGCTGCCTACGGCTGCCATGTTGAATGATTGGATTTGTTTTGGTCATTTTTTAACAACATAGTATAAAGTCTAACTACCCTCCAAATTTCATTAAGATATGACAACCTTCGATTTGGACAGTTCTGCATGGTTTTCTCGCGGACTGGCTCTTAAAAACAATTACCTGGTCACGCGTCAAACGCTTTCATGTACCCGCATAGTATACACGCGAGTTAGAAAACTCCAATATGCTTGAATTTTATTTCAAAAAATAATTGAAAGTAGATTATTAAACAAAATAAACTATTTCTTTTCTATCTTCACTGCTGTTTGTTACTTGTAAGTGTAATATTGTCCACGTTATCTGTTGAAAAAAGACCGCGTCCACAGAAATCGGCTCTATTTGCCGTAATTGGAAGGCCGACGATTTAAATTATTTTTTAAGAAATGGAATGTAAGAAAAATATTCAGCACTAATAAACGGCATAGCATAGGTTTTAAAAGATGTTTTATTTTGTACTATGGCTACAATCCACACGATGTTGTACAGAACTTGATGTCAGAATTAATGCTCGAATTTCCTCTAGCGTCTGTATATAATAGTGATCGATTCTGAAAGGAAATCTTTCTAACAATAAAATTTTGTTAACACACGGAGAATCAAAAATATGAAATATTTTGGACAACATTGCTGGCCAGAAAAAAACATACAGATCGCGGTAAATGCATGTTCACATGCACGACGGATAGGTGAATTAATAATTTTTTTATTTCAATATTCAGACTTTTATCTTCAAGTGATTTCTTTTATTGAAGATTAAAAAAAATAAATATTATTGATTTGACGTTTTTACTCGACGTGATTTTTTCTTTTTATCAATTATGTAAGGAAAAATTTTTATAAAACGATATACATGTATCTTATTATTTTTTTTCCTTCAAAACATTACCATAATTACGATAAATGCTTTTAGTTTACAAATAAATTTCATATTAAAATAATTATTTTAAGTTGTTTCACTCAAAACCAGACACAAAACACGTAATGTTGACCCTGATTACCAAACACAGACTTCCTGTGTAATGCTACGTATACACAGATTTTTGACATCTTGGGTATTGGGGGTCTCCAGGTAAATAACACCACTGTTACTTCGACCACTCCCCCTCCTCAGGTAACCGTACGGTAAAAAAATTGGGTCTTTAAAATAGCTTATATTTATCTGTTAATATATATCCACAGGGGCCTGTAACATACTGTTTTTGATTTTACGTAATCACTATATATATACAGAAAAGGATAGTGATTACGTAAAATCAAAAACAGTATGTTAAAGGCCCCTGTGTATATATATCCTCGTGACATTAAACGCTTGTGCACAACATTGCATGATTTTCTTAATTATATAATGCATGTTCAGTATTACATGTATATATAAGCAAAGTACCCCTGGTCCTCTGCGTCAACAAACCGTGGGCTGTATAATTAGGAGGCATTTACATTAAAAGTTTAAAACTGAAGTTTAATGTAATCTACAACTAGATATGCAGTGTAGTTTTAATTTGATAAAAACGCAACAAATATGAGGGGCTCCCTGCTCTCTCTTAGAGGAAAAACTAAACTCCCTCTAGATCCGCCAATACATTTCTTCTCTTTCAGTTTCTTTGAGTTGTAGCGGGAAAATTCTTGGCACATTGTAAAACGTGCATTATCCTCGTCTGCTAAGGGCAAAATCTCGTAATATTCTGTAGCCTGCTAGGTCTTTTGATGAATTTATATTTACCCATATTTTTGAAAATTTTATATATGTACATGTGAACACGTCATTTTAAAATAAATACGTACGACAAATCATGTTTAAATAGAGAAAGTAAAATTGTGCAAAATACATAACGCGGTCTTTGCTTTAGACTAGGCCCAACACATGTCCTATTTTTCTCCGCACCTCAAACATGTCTAAGTTTCTCAATCAGGATTGGATGAAATATTTACCTCCTCATGTTCTTTATAAAAAAAATAATTTTATATGTTTATTGTGCGTTCTTGTTAAACATTTAGACGCTCTTTTTAATATACTATTATATTAATGTTAAATATTTTTATTTAAATTGTTTTAAGTCCGCAGAAACGCACAGCGACTTCAAACTTTCATATCATATAACCGACCGCCTCCTGGCGGCCGGTAATAAACGATGCATCGATCGCAATGCACTTATCAATGTGACGTCATCACGCAAAAATGACGCAGTTTGTACACAGTGAGAGGCTGATCAAGTCGCATTTTGTACAATGAAAAATGTTTTTTGTTCTCTAATAAAATATTATTTGCAATAAAATAAGAAGCCGTTTACTTGGATGCGATGTCTATTTTAGTATTTTATTTATAAATTATACGTGCATTCTCCAGACAAGCGATACTATAGTGTGCTTGTATGCAGATTCATTGAAAAAGTAATAGAAAGACCCTAATAAATCGATTTAGTGCAAGAGAATACCCTGAATGTATCTTGCCAACCTTTTTACACATAAACTCAAGAAGCATTAAGAAGTGCTGCAAACTTCATGAAAATCTGCAAGTAAATTAAATATACCTATATTTAATGTAGCTGAGCAGCAAAATATTCAACCTGCCATCTAACAAAGTAAAGTTTAGCAATTAAATAGTGAAATCTTCATAGGTTCGCAGCACTTTTCACAAAGTACATATAGTGTTGAAAAGGATTACAAAATAAACTAAGATTTTTAACTTGGTTATGCCCGTGCAATATTGAAATTTATAGATGACATCTAAACTGCAAGTATAATTGCGAAAGTCCTGTGACGTCGACATCACACAACAAGTCTAAATAAAAAATCTAAATGTCCCAAACATGTAGATTTAAACCACAATACATTTTTTGGATATCAGTGAATTCCTAAAAAGAATCGCCTATCCTAATAAAGTATTATTTTTTATCTTAAAAAATCGACGATATTTCCATTTGTAACCTTAACTGTGCTGCGTAAGAATAGATTATTGAAAAGACCTTTTTGATTCTTTCCGAGCACCGACGAACAACCCCTGCATTACCAATATATACAAAACAGATATCTGGTGAAGGTATCCTCTGACTTAAGTTTAGTGATCATTGGTTCTATTGACCTTGTTATCTCCATATATTCAACATCTTAATTTTCACCTTGAAATTAAAATTAAATACAGAATGTCTTACAGTTTCGAGTTATGCTGTTGCCAATGTGAAGTCCATTCTTAGATTCTGAATTGAAACCCCGACCCCAACAGGAAAAAAAGATTCGAAAAAGCTATTAAATGTATTAGCATATAGGTCAAGGTCACAAGGTGATTGTCCTTGGTATTACTTGGAAGAACTTGATTAGTGGAGTATGTATACCAAATATAAAGTCTTTACTCTGATGGTTCAGAGGTTATGGTTAAGGTTTAAAAAAGCTATTATTAGCTTATACTATACTGTGGTTTCATCAATTTTCATTGGCATTAATTTTCGTGGATTTTGTAAAACAGACAGTTTCGAGGATACGTAATTTCGTGTACAAAAGCATTTCTTCACAAATGAATGTCATATTTCGTAATTCGATGAACATTTGAATTTGTGGATCTGCTCAACAACGAAATCCACGAAAATTAGTGCTCAACGAATATTGATGAAAGCACAGCTGGCCACAATCAGTGGTCATTGACATTGGAGTCATTTAAAGAGCTTAATGGGTTAAGTACGCATACCAAATATGAAGTTTTATCTTTCATAGTTCAAAAGTTATGGTGAAGGTAAAAGTTTGCAGGAAAAAAAAATTTTTAGCATTTTGATCAAAGTCAAGGTTACAAGGTCATTGGCATTGGTAAAATTGAAAGAATTTAATTTGTAGAGTATGCCTGAAGTCCCTATTTTTATCGGTTCAAAAGTTATGGCGAAGGTTAAACTTTGCTGGCGAAACAAAAGCTATTTTAAGCCTACAGGTCACGTTCAAGGTCACTCGGTCATTAAAATTGGTGTCATTTGAAAGAGGTTTGCAAGAGGAGTAGGCATACTAAATAAGAAGTCTCTATCTTTCATGGTTCAAAAGTTATGGCGAAGGTCAGAGTTTGCAGACAAAAAGACAAACAGACAGACAGAAATGCAGACAGACAGACAGGACAAAAAATTATGTCACGGATCTATCGATCCCGGCGCATTCCAATAATCAAGCATATTGCAATATATACACAAATAACACTTAACTAATAGTCAAACATCTTTTCCTGTATTTTATTTGGCCACAGCGTTAGCTCACCAATCTTTTAAAAAGATAAGCCGGATGCATATATTTTACAAAATATCGTTCAATCTTTAAACGGGCTATATGTTTTTATTGAGGAAACATTTAATTATCAAATTTTAACTAAAAAGTGGTGAACAGGTAAAAAAAACAATTTTTGCAGCTTGAAGTTCATGACTGTACATGTATTTAGACTAAAGCATTTTCCCTAGATATCGATGGATGAGCTAGCTTCTTTTTCGAGCAAGCACTTACTGCAACAAAAAACCTTGGATTAAAAGGTTTCAGACGAAAATTATTCTCTACCACTATCAATTATACAGTATGTAACTACATCATTGTATCATGCTTTGCATTATTTATTTATATTCAGTTTATATGTGTGACATTTTAAAAAAGATATACACATGTAGGTTAAATGTTATAATTTATGGTGATCCATGACTTTTTTTTATATATCTTTCTGTTAATTTATGATGACAAAGTACCTGTGTTGTTTACATAATCGCTTCAACGTTTCAAAAATCGATGTTGAAACCCTGTTATTCTCCTTTATTGCTCTAGTGGTTTAAACTTAAGTCTTGATAACGCAAGGGTAGTATGAAAGGGTAAAATGAAATTCAAATAAAATGACCTTTTCTATATATTTACATTAATTTTCTATTATTACTGTGTAATATTTAATTATTTAAAGCTTTACATTTCTTGTTTGTTTAATGGATGTTAAATTTACAAATTAGAAAAAAAAATAAAAGAAAGCCTTGTTTAATGTAACCTTTTTTTTTTAAATTAAAGTTGAAGGTCAAGTTGTCTGGATCAATTTCTGGATAGTAGGTATTAAATTGATTTTTATTTATGATCAAATATCGAATAACTACATAAATTACTCATATTTAAATGATTTAAATGCATTTCACTCTCTTGTGTAGGAAGGCTGCACAATACCCAAACGTTGAAATTTAATATATGTATATTACCGGTACATTTAAAACCATACGAAAAAGTAACTTTTTTTTAAAATCCAAATGAAAATTCTTAATAATGTATAAAACTATATTCCTCAAATTTGGTGTTTATGATTTCCCAAATATGAAATTTTTTTAACGTTTTATATACACCGGGTTAAAATCCAACAATTTGAAAAATAGCGGCTGTGTTGAAACAGGCAGTGTAATGGACTATGATCAAATGTTTTGATTCTGAATTCACTCTTACAGAAAAGTTCAAGTCAAAAATGTTTGGTAGACAAGGAAATGTTTTCTGGCCCTTAGTATTTAAGTACTAAAAGGTAACTGAAAAGCTCTCTCTAGACAAGTGAACAACGGAAAATAAAAAAGACAAGACTAAGAATTGGACAAGAGTAACACTGTGCAACTCCATTTGAAACGACAGACAAAAGGTCTGTTGAAATATATGTTCTTCAGATTATTATTATTATTTCATACCTGTACTTCCATACAATTTGTTTACATATTTAAATGTTGATCATATCAAAGGATTTAAGATATTCACATTGTATCTATAAGTGTTTTGTTTAATTAATGAATTTGAATCTGTAAATTGGAATGGTTTCTTCAATAATTTGAATCTTTGACATTTGTCTTTTTGACGTTACAGATTGCTCCGGATGTAAGAGAACGATATCACTTAAAATCTTATCACTCAGATTGTTTTCAGTAAATATTATAAAACCCCTGCCAAGAACACGTTTAATCCACCCAGAAAATTTTATAAAGATACATTATTTTTAGAAGATATGAACTCACTCTCCGAAATTTTGGCACAAACCTCGTACAATACAATTATACAACATTTAATTTAATTTAATGAATGAAGTAAATACTTTAAAGACAACTGAACATCTAACAGTTATTACAAGTTTTAGGTACCATATGTTTTCAAGATAAGTAAACAAAAACACAGTAGGTTGGATAATAAATCTATTCAAGAGATTTATAGGGAAAAACTAATAATAGTCCAGTGTGAAAACTCGCATGTTACTTAATATAATGAAAAAGTCTCTGACAGGTAACGGAAAGGTCATTAAAAGATTTCTGAAATTGACCGCTGAAGGATGACTGAAAGGTATTTGATTGAACGGTATCTGAATAGCACTGAAATGTTTCTGCCATTCAGTGATTGAATGACAACCGAAAACTCACTAAATACCACCTTTCAATTTTAACCGAAAGGTCTGTCTTCTTTTGTGAAATAACGAATATAACAATTGAATGAATAGATTTTAATGCAGAAATGACTTATCGAGGCTTTGGTTACGTGGTGGATTCCTGTCCTACCAATGAGACAGAGTTTATCTCAGCTGCTACCAGACTGAACTGTGGAGTGGACCAGTATGGACGTAATCAGTACACGTGCGTCCCCAATAAGGACACATCAGCTCTTGTAGAATTCTGCTATAGCAAAATCGTCGGGTTTTATCAAAAGGGTACAGGGAAGTATTCGTTATTTACTACTGTTTTGACAACATGGTACAAAATTTTAAAGTCTCTATTCTCCACTTAATTTTTTTTCTAAATGTTGTTAAAAAAATATTTTAGCTTTATAGGTTAAAACTCATTTAATTCAAAATTATTATATTTACGTATATATTGATAAAAAGCTGGGTGATACTAGAATAAAATCTCTTACTGAGATAATTGAAATACTCTATCATATACATCCATTTATTTTTTTAATAAGGACATTGCTTGCTGACTATTGGAAACGGAGCCTTAGATCAAATCAGTTGTCATCACTTTAAAAGCGGTTGTCCAGAAGAAAATTTCCGAGGAACTGACCTATACAAATGTCCGTTTTTTTTAATTATCTTTGAAGCAAATTTCGAATGTTATCTTGTTCATTAAGGATAATGATTTTCTCTTTTTTTATTTAGTTTCAGCTTGTAGTAGAATCAACACAGAAAAGCAGTGTTTTAAAGCTGATCCATCATGTCAAAACACGTAAGCTTTTATTTATATTTTCTTTTGGTAATTAATGTTTCCAATACTTTTTTGAGATAATATTTTTTTTATTTATTACTTAATTATTACTTCCTAAATGTCATCTTAACAAAACATAATGATATGTGATTATACTGATGATGAAATATCCATTAAAAAATACAAATCAGAAACAACGGAAATACGAACATCGAACATATCATATGATAGAAATGCCATAAAGCTGTGAGAATCCCAAACCGGTTAAAAGGGTCGTTTGCTCCTTGTCATGATCGAGAAATGCCGGAATAATCCTTTGACAATCTATTATGTAGATACCAGGAATTCCCTAAAAAGGAGTATGAAAAACTTCAGTCAGCTAGCATATGATTAAGTCATAGGTTGCATTTGCTGACAAGGGCACCAATCGACCTTAAAACTTACAAAACTGTTATTGTACATTGGACCTTCAGATAACCGGACGTCAGATATCCGTATGCTTCAGCATTTGTCAACGTCATTTTGTCTTATTAAACTGGTAATTCAGTTACCCGGACGTTTCACATATCCGTACAGATTGATTAAAGGCACCAAAGCGTCTGGATAAATGAAGTTCTACAGTATGTACATGTGTTATTAATTACGTGTACATGTTGGATTTATAATATGAGTAATGATTGTTAGCATTTTTATATATTACTTACATTCGTAATTTTTAAATGAACAGTGTACATGCGTAATTTGTTAACTGTTCTCAAAATTTTAAGTGAGCTTTTCTGATCAAATTTTTTCCGTTTTATGTTGTCATCGTCGTTACATGTAACTTTTTACATTTTCAACTTCTTCTCCAGAACCAATGGACCAATTTCACTTATCTTGGCACAGTGTATCCTTAAGTGAAGGGCATTCGAGTTTGTTCAAATGAAGGGCTTTGCCCTTATCATTTAAGGGGAAATGATTGAGAAATAGAGAAAATTTGCTTAGAAGTATATAGGAAAATTTTTTAAACATCATCTCAGGAACCATTGTGCCAGGAAAGATGAAACTTATAGGAAAATATCCTCAGGTATTGTAGATTTGGTTTTGTTCAAATCATGACTCCCATGGGTAGGGCGGGGCAACAATGGCTGATCAAAGTTTTACTTATAAATATATAGGAAAATTCTTTAAAAAATTATTCGTCTCAAGAATAGCAAAGGCACGAATGATCATAATTACTGAGTATATCAAAGCATCTGCAGGTAGTGTAAATTCAGGTTTGTTCAAAAAATGACCCTGGGGGTAGGGCGGGGCCACTATGGCCGATCAATGTTGTAATTAAAATATATAGGATTTTTAAAAAAAAATCTTCTTCTTAAACACAAGGTCAAGATATAGTAAATGAAGGGTGCCTAAAGATTTATTAAACTTGAGAAATATATTCCTTTATTGATGCTTTACAATTTTAGCTTGGTCAAATAAGGTGTTTCGGGTCATAATTTGTAGGTAAACAACATGAAAAACTGTATTTTAATCTGTCATTTTCAATGAAAAATTAAGAAAAACAGTCATGAATATGGGAGTTTTTTCGTATTCGGCAAAGGAAATGCATCCAGATTGCCTACAGTCTCTCAGAAAACGGTAGTTAGTATTTTCATGGCCTCTTCTTTAAATCAATATCAAATTTAATATAGGTATCCGGTTTACTTTTGGTATGATTTCGAATTGAATGACATGAAAATACCCTGTTTTCTACATAATTCTGCTAAAGCCGTAAAGTACGGGAAAAAGAAAGTTTAAATTGATTAAGACGTCATGGATCTAACACCAAAAAATTAGTCTCAAGTTATTTACTAGATCTTGACCTTAAGAATAGGAAAGGTATGAATGATCATCTTGACCTTAAGAATAGCAAAGGTATGAATGATCATATCTATATGCAGGCACCCTCAGATAGTGGACATTCAATTTTGTCAAGTCATGACCCCTTGGGGTAGGGCGGGGCCACATCATGGAATCCAAGTTGTACATAGAAACATGTAAAAAAAAATCTTTAAAAATCTTCTTTTCAAGAATAGCAAACCGTTATACCTATTCATATGGAAGGATTCTGAGATAGTGAAGATTCAATTTTATTCAAGTCATGACCCCCAGAGTAGGGCGGGATAGAAGAAACAGCTTGTGGCAATACTGTTTTAAATGAAATGAATAGAATGGGATAAAAATATATTTTACATATAAAAAAATGTTCACACGCAAAACTGGTTATTTGTGAAAATATTTCGTGATCGTGAGAAAGTGAGAAAGGTGGGTGAGGGGGATATTTACAACAGTATGCATCCCTGATAAATTATCCATGATTATTGATACCTTTAGACCTTAAAATAGAGACTGTTACTATTTCTTTACTATGTACCTTCGTAACAAAGACCTAACAACCTCATAGATGATGACAAGAGAAATGACGTCACACAGTTCACAATATACATCGAAGGTATATTTTAAATTCACTCTGAAAAAGTTGGGAATTTTATTGCAATTTGATTTCTTTCTTTTTAAAAAAATAGGCTTATTTAAACTTTTGTAGACAAGTTACGTGATGTTTTTGTGATTACGGATGTCTTATATTAAGGCTCGACATGCCATACATAACCCCCCCCCCGGAAAACTGGCTCTAGAGTAGGACCCCCATGGAAATCTGGTGCTGGAGTAGGATTTCCCTTACGGAAATCCCACACCATTAACTATAGTAAGCTCTATAGTAAGCTCTTGATAACAATACCTTAGTTTAAAATTATTTTATGCTTGTGCAGTCAATAGACCAGAGGAGCAATGAACGGCTCAGTGTGTTCTATTGCCCGAGGTCAAGGGGGAAAATATTGTCTATTGACTGCTCAAGCATTAAATCATTGTTTTATTACCTAATTTTATATTCCGTATATAAGTGTTCACATTTGTATATTATAGAAGTGTCTCGTGTCATTATGAATTCAAATCATTGTAAAATTAATACCTACATGTAGATCTATATGTATTCTCTTTAGAGAAGTGGACAGGTTTTTGCCTACATCCTCTAGGCGAAAGCCTTCCTCTTCCCTATACAGAGAATAGTATATATGGTGCATCTGTAATATTAATTTAAAATTGATTCACTCATATGGAGACACTACCACTTGCCCGTGAAAAACTGTAAATCTTGTCATATACTCGGCAGTTAGGGCTATTAAGCAGGGGGTGATCTTTTTCAAGTCATCAGTGCACCTACTGCGACACAAGACACCGCTTAAATAAATACGGTCTCATCCGAAGGACCGGTCTCCACGTCCCACCGATTGACAGTGTATTAATAAAAGTAACTCTCTTTAAATAAAATATATCCTACAATTGAAATCATACATTTATTTGAAAAAAAAATGTCCAAATATTACAAAATGATTGTTTACCATGTCTGTGCAATGTTACAAACAACTAAATTCGAAATCTGTATGGGTTTTTCTCCAAAAAGCGTAGCCTGTCAATAGATCGACGACAATCGACCTGTCAATAGATCGCAGTTTATTGGCTGGCAGTCAATAGATCGGTTAGAAAAGATAATAAAAACTGTAAACGCAGACAGAATAGACAAAAATCTGTAATCTCTACTAAAACAACAAAATTCATTTGTTTAGGTTGAACACAAAGACCAGTTTTGAAGATCAAGAATCAGGAGATGTTGGGACAATCATTGGAATTATCCTTTGTGTACTACTTCTACTGTCCTTTAGTTTTTGCCCTTATATTCTGGAAAAGGAGGAAAAGAAGGAAATCAAGAAGATACCAAAAAATTCCATTGATCATAAGTAAGTCGTTAATATCTCGAGGATCTAATTTCAGTTTACGGTTATTATTTTCCACGTTTTCCATTTGTTTTGATGTAAGAATCTTTTCTGCTTATTCTAGGATCCAATTCGAAAGATAACACCCAATCCTCATTACAAATGGCCATTTTTTTTCACCTTTTCCAAAATTTCACCATAAATTTATTCACAACTCATTTTTTTAGAATCAACATAAAAGTATTTCTCGCATTACTTTATCTATAGATATAACATTAGTATCATATCAGTGAATAAAATTTCAAATTTAGAGATGATACTGATCAATCATATTCTGAATATATGATTCCAATTTTTAACTCACCTGATCCGAAGGCTCAAGTGAGTTTTTCTGTTCACATATTGTCCTTCGTCCGTCTGTAAACTTTTCAAATTTTCGATTTCTTCTCAAGAAGCACTGGATCAATTTCAACCACACTTGAAACGAGGTATCCTTGGGGAATTTAAATTTGTTCAAAGGAAGAGCCAAGCCTCATTCCAAAAGGAGATAATTTATAGTTACTGAAAAGTCAATGGTAATTTTCAAAAATCTTCTTCTCAAGAACCACTCGACCAGGAAAGATGAGACTTATGTGGAAACATCCTCAGGTAGTGTAGATTTATGTTTGTTCAAATTTTGACCCCTGGGGGTAGGGCGGGCCACTATGTTCGATTAAAGTTTTACACAGTAATATACAGGATTTTTATTTAAAATCTTCATCTCAAGAATAACAAAGCTTTGACTTATCCTATTTATATTGAGGCATCCACAGGTAGTGTAGATTCAAATTTGTTAAAATTATGACCCTGGGGGTAAGGCAGGGCCACAGTGGCGAAACAAAGTTTTACATAGAAATATTTAAGAAAATTCTTTTAAAGTCTTCTTCTTAAGAAAGGCAAAGCCATAATTGATCACATTTATATGGAAGGATCCTCACGTAGTCTAGATTCAGATTTGTTCAAATTATGACTCACGGGGGTAGGTGGGGCAAAAATGGTCAATAGAAGTTTTACATAGAATATATATAAATTTTAGGGAAATTCTTTAAATTTCTTCTCAAAAATAGCAAAGTCATAATTGATCCTTGGAAATCTTTTGGTTTTAAACTTTTCCATTATTAAACTAATTTCTACTTTTTCCTATTCACAAGTCGCCCGCGTTGCGCAGTGGTTAAAGCATTCTCTAGTTTCACGAAGTAAGGGGTCAATCCTTACGTCGCGGGTTCGAATCCTACTGTGGGACGTTAGGTCCGGTCTTTTGGATGAGACCGTATTAACCGAGGTCCCCTGTCGCAGTAGGTGCTGGCACGAAAAAGATCCCTCACTGCTCGAAAGCCCTGAGTGCCGAGCATAGGACAAAATTTGTAGCCCTCCACCGCTAGTGGTGGCGTCTCCATATGAGTGAAAAATTCTCGAGAGGGACGTTAAACAACATCCAATCAATTAATCAATCCCATTCACAATGCTCGGGTGAGCGATGTGGCCAATGGGTCTTTTTGGGGTGTTTGTTTTGGTAACGGATGAAAGAAAGTCTTTGACAATAGTTAAAACTTTTGAAAATATCGGTAACGAAATCGAATATATCATAAATTCCCCTCCCCTAATAAAACAATTAAATAGGATAAAAACAGCAAACTAACAAACAAAAACAACAACACAACATTGAGGCCCAGTATTCATTAATATATGTATTGCTTTCTAAGTATTGCTTCATTTTTTTTTATTGTAGATCGTATTGTTGGTGAATATAGTGTGTGGAAAACACCCATTTCTGGTAAATTACTGATATTTTATTTTAGTAACGGAATGACTAATTAATGGGGGTATGGACAGGTTCATAAATAATTAAATAATCAATATCATAAATCTATTAATATTGCTATAGCATTTCGTTCAAAATTATCATAAAATAAGAACTTCTTGTATCTAGTAAGTGTAAAGCTACTAATTCTTGGATGCATTTGACTCATTCGAGGGTTGTCCTAGAAAAAGGCGAACATTTTCAATATCTTTTGTTTCATTAAGACTGTTAATTAAAAAATGGCATGGATCATCATCAACATTCTTTGAATGATGTCCGGAAATTCCAATGAAATATCTCGGTTAATAAAACTTTCCTCTCAGTTAAATGAATCTAACGAATAAGCTGTCGACGTAACAGTGACGACATCAAAAAACGCAAGTGAGTTAAGGCTACAAACGGAGGTTTCTCTACAAAATATCTTATTTAATTCCATAATTGCTCTACCTACTGCACAGAAATTGTAAAGACTTGTTTTCTTATACATTTGTAGTACTCACGACATGCAATAGCCAGTACACATTATGACGTCATATTATGACGTCATCAAGCTCTACTACACAAGTTTATAAGAAACATCAACAAAATCGCTTCGGCGCAAGGGCGTACCTTACATTGTTTTACAAAAACAAGGTATAAAAAGACGCAGGATATTCCAAGGATTTAAGATATTGCTGCACAAATGTCGGCATTACAATTGTTTAGTTACTATTCGTGCAATTTTAAGTTAAAACAGGGTAAAAATGCACAGTCCAGTGTAAGTTTCCTTAAATTGTCATCAATTGAGAAAATCTATAGATTTGTGCAGCAATTTTATTATTTTTTTATAATATTGTCATTTATATTATACATTGTTTATTTTAAATTAGATTGGACATGCCCTTGCGCCGACGTGATTTTGTTGATATGATTTATTACCTTGAATGGGAGAGAACAATGACGTCATAATATGACGTCATAATGTGCACTTGCATTAATAAACTGTGGGTTCTTAGTATACATAAGAAAATCAATATGAACTTTCTCTGTACATAAATTATACAACTTATGGATTTTTATCAGCTCATTTGCATAGAAATATCCATATCTAGCCTTAACTCACTTGCGAAATATCCTTAAGTATTTGTAAATTTATGAAACTTTACCTCCAAATAATTCATTTAAGCATACATTCGGCACTGTATTTTGTTTTAATTTACATGTAGTTATCAAGCTATAATCTCAAATACTAGAACCAAAAGATTACAGAATTGATTCTTTTAATACAAAGTTTCACAATCCCAATCCTAAACCTAACTGATCACATTTTTACAGCGGTTTCACGTAGACCTATGACGCAGACGTCCCGCTCTTGTCTTTTAATTCTTTATTTATTCCCTTCTTTCGGATAACAAGCCAAATTACCCTCCAACAATTTCAACTGGAGATGAACCTGTTAACCATAGCTAGTTTTGTATCTTTTCATCGTTAACACCCATTCTCCTTGTGTAGAGAAATCATACCCCGCTCAACATAGTGTTTCTTGATAAAGAAACAAAGTTGTTCAAAATGTCAAGCTTAAGGTATACCTTTACTCAGATGATTAAAAATTTCACTGGTAAGAACGAAGAACCACCTATTTCACATTGTACACCTATGATTCTTGTCTTAAATTCCAATTTCAATTAACTAGGTCAATGGCGTCATCTTCATGCTAGGGGCTCCTGAGTATTTCTCGGGAAATACCTCAATTTTTCACACTATGACCATTTTTTCTTGACCCACAAAATATTACAAGCAACATAATTCTTTAAAAAATGAAATATCATAGCAATGGAATAAAGTTGCTTCATATTAAGAAATAAGTAGAGTTTGGGCCTAAAACGTGATAATTATTACAGTCCGAATTTCCTCTGTCATATTTATATTTTTCCCTGTTTTTAATCAAATATTGCAAAAATCTGACTGATAAGAACTATAAATTATTTATAGCCTCAGGTTACTTTTTTTCCTTTCTGGTGCCAAGTTACGGACAAATTTCTGATTTTAAATTGACATTTTGTTCGCGGATAATCTAAAGAACGGTAAAAGATATCACTGTGAAACTTTTAGGGATTATAGATCGTGATAATTACTATCCAAGACGCGATCTTTTGTACGTCGTCTCTACTTCCTGTCGTAATGGCATGCAAAGAAAAAAGTCAAATTTTTAAACTTTTTTGTTTTTCAATATTTTCAAATCATATTAGTATGGTTGATAGGAACATTTCTCATTAGGCTGAATATATAATTTGTTTGTAAATTGATGGATTCGCACTCGAGATATTAACATTCAAAAGTCTGAAGCGGGATCTTAATGGCGGCGGTCTCTGTCAATTCCGACATTTCGCAATAGGGGTTTACAGAGGCAGCTGAGCGTTTGCTTGAACGAAAGTAACATAAGGAGCAATGAAATGTATAGGGACACTTGGATTGTCACGTCGTAGGTTCGTTGCAATTCTGTGTCAAACTACATTTATTATCCAAGGTCTACTTACAAGTCTTCTTTAATTGGTTTTGGTTGTTTCCCAAAGTAGAAATAGAAAAGAATTAATGTACAAATGAAGTACAATATCTATATCTTTTGTTTTGCATCACAGTAACACATAGCTTAAATCATAGTTATAATTAATAGATTTTCAAGAATGTAGTAAGTAAAAAACGTGACCACTGTTTTCCCATGCACACTTGTGTCATATAAAATCAATAGAAAGGACAACTGTTACAATAAGAAAATATTTTATTTTTAAAGATAACAGTTTTTCAAAGACCGTTTAATTGAACTATATAAACATTTTATTTTCTCAATGCAAGTTATTGAACATAATGGAATCTTATTTCTTGACCCTCGTAGAGCGATCGAGGCATTTTTTTTCGGTGAAACATACCACCATTTTCATGAAAGTGTAAGTAATCAGAATAGTCAACTTTCGTGATTGAAAATTGAAAAATTAACCATTCATAGCTGTTTCACTGCTTTAGTGTTATTTGCCTATATACGATATGTTACTTGTATGTGTTATACTTTCCACACCTCAAAATTAAGGCGATAAGAACGCTCTTTTGTTATTTGATTGAAGCTATCTCACCTATTTAAATGAACATTCCAAGAGAAATTCGCTAAGATTTACTCGTTGCGTTTGGCGCGAAATTATGAATAGTGACCATTCTTTCATAATTCCAAGACAGATTAACTGTTGCAGAATTATATGTACATACAAGTGAAGTAAGAGTAGTTGTTCAAATAGCGTAATCGATAAGCGTATTGGATTTGCACGCTAGTGACCCGTTTCAATTACCAGTGTGTCCAAAATATGTTTAATCCATTTTCAGCTCGATTTTATGGGTTATTTTTCGGAATCGGACGGAAGACCTACTCGTTGCTCGCAACGAGATCGTTTCTAGTTATTATTATTATTCTTTTTTTTTCTTATTTGTTCTCCGGTACTTTTTTGTCCGGAAGTGTTCTCAGAAACTGTTCACCCAACTGACCTAAAACCTTTTTAGGGTTAATGGGTGTGTAGTGTAGGTGTGCGGAACGAAGGTCATTTTGCGCACATACGCATGCACGTGCGTGCGCGTGCAACACGTGAAATGACTTATATACTTAATATAGCTATAACTTTTACATTTTTTAATGAAATCATTTGAAACTCATTATATAAAGATATATCAATAGTGTAGATAATGTGACACTGTCAAATTAGCACGAACTCACGCGCATGCACGTGCGCTTCGTTCTGATTGGCTAAAACAAAAATCTCAGTATCTTCTCTGTTTTTTGACCAAATGCTTTGAAATTTAAAACATAGTCATGAATTAGGATATCCTACAACACGATACAGAAAAAATTTCATGAAATCACGCGCATGCACGTGTTCTGCAATCTGATTGGCTGACACTTTAAATGACTATATCGCCTTTGTTTTTTGACAAAATGCTTTGAAATTTAAAACATTGTCATACATTAGGATGTCCTGCAATATGATATACAAAAACTTTCAAGAAATTACGCGCATGCACGTGTGCTGCGATCTGATTGGCTTAAACTTTAAATGACTATATCTCCTTTGTTTTTTACGAATTTTTTTTGAAATTTAAAACATAGTCATTCATTAGGATTTCCTACAATGCGATATAGAAAAAAAATCATGAAATCACGCGCATGCACGTGTGCTGCAATCTGATTGGCTGAAACTTGAAATGGCTATAACTCCCTTGTTTTTCAACCAAACAGGATGGGATTCGGAGCATAGATAAATATAAGGGACTCCTACAAGAAGATTTGGTCATCATGCACGTGCGTGCACGTGCATTTGGAACGAATGAAATTAGAAATCGCTTGAATGATTGATTTTTAATACTTTTGGACTGAATGCTTTCATATATAGTATATTACAGGGAATACGGCACTAAAAGGGAGTTGGGGAGCGTTTGGGGAACATCTGTAACGGTTCCCGTTACAATTAGCACTAGTTATGAAATTATTTAATAAAAGAAAAAAAAGAAATAACATCTCTTCAAACGTTCTGAATGTTTCATCCTTATTATATCCTTTTACAACCCAAAGAATAATAATAAAAAAAAATGTATCCCGATCGTTCGAGATTCATATTTTTTATTTAACAAGAACATGTACTTTTGTTTCCATTATCATAACAAATAAATCAGCCGTCGTCAAATGTACAAATGAGATTTTATCAAAATTTTCATTTTATACATAGAAATCTCATCTCTTTCCAATGATTTTAAAAAATGTTACACTTGAATATTTTATGTATAAGACCCGGAAGATAATAACAAGAGCGTTTTTGTAAGTGTATTCACTCTTGATTTTAATTAATTACTTTTACATGCAGTTCTGAATTTTTCTTGTTTTGGTAATCTTTGTCTATCTTATAAGTGTTTTTCTCTCTCTTATTCTCTCTCTATATATTCCCTTTTCCAGCCTTGTATTGTTGAAAATAAATTGATCTTTTGCAAATGGCATTTACTTTATTGGATTTAAAATAAATTAAAAATTGTACTAACAAATGATAATCGGTAGGTAAGGTTAATCGTATATTGAAATTGAATTTTGACGTTTATTCATTGGGTCTTTTTGAGAGCAATATCTCCTGATTGTAAGTAAAAAAAGGTGGGGGTTTATAGGAACGTATAAATATATGTATTAAATAAGGACCCTTTTTAAATAAACTAAAAATTATGATTACTACACTATTTTTAGATGATCTCACACTTGTAATTCTACAAAATGTTGTTTAAAAATCATTGTATCTGCATTTATGCTCCTTGTTTACACAGGCGGAACACGTAGTTAGGCTTCTGATAATATATTTATTATTACATTGTAGCTGTGTCCTGCATTGAGGTTTGCGTAACGTCAATTACATTTTATTATATCAGTGACAAATGTCTGTTAAAAAATCTACATTTTCCATTTAATAAAATTGTAAGAATATTTAAGCTGCAATATTGTTGAAATATTTGCAGTGAATAATAATTAAAAAAAAAAGTCATATAATCTTATCTTAGTCGATTCCTTCCGTCCTAATTATTCAAAAACACTTATTTTATGAGAGTGACGTCACTTGAGATTGTTTCAAATAAACATGAGAACATATTTCTTTCAATTTTAAAGGATTTTTTGCTAATTGGATGTCTTTTATATTCTAAAATACTTTAAATAGCTTCTGCGGTATATCTCTTTACTTTTGTTTGACCTATTTATATCAAACAAGGCATATAATCCACTTCCCGCTGTCAACCAGGAAGTTGAATGACGCCTGATATTTTATTCAAAATACACGAAAATGTGGTTGGAAGTGATCTTATTGAATTTTCTAATAAGCATTTTCCCGGAGATCTCAGGTTTTGGTGAGTGTATCATTTTCTTCCTTGAAGTTCTCTAATGTAATTAGCAGAAATATGCTGTTTGTGAATTATCGTTAATTTTAACAATAACGTTTTATATCCATTATTAAAAAGCGTAATGGTGACTGTTTATTATAATTGGACTTAAAATGAAATAGTCTCATAACGAAACGAATTTACAGTTAATTTAGCCCATACACCTGGGCAAAAACTACAGGGAACTGCATCTTGGAATGTTGATGCTCATCCCAGTGCCGGGGGTGCTGACAAGGTGGTGGATGGTGATACGAGACAGGGCTATCTTCCTACCTGTGCAATTGCTGACTACGGTGCCTACACTTATAAATCAGTTTGGTGGAAAGTGTGGTTAGACAGAAAATTCAATATAGCTTATTTGGAAGTCTATCTGCGTTCAGGCAGTAAGTATTATTAGGATTTTATTGCATATTATGCTGTAATATGCTTAAAATGTATACTTGTATAGTTACAAGGCTTTCCGTCTTAAAAAGTAATCATTGAAATAAAAGATACCACAAGAGTTTGAAACTTTACTTTCATATTTAGATATTTTACTTGAACAAGATATGAATAATAATTTAAAAACCTTCCTGCATGATAAACATGCTGACTTTTCCGTGTCAACTTCCTTTCTATTTCATTAATATACCTTCAACACATGCATGCGATGTTTATATACCCCAGTTGATTCGATATAGAAGAGAATACTCTACACATGGACAATTTCTAAGAAAAGGTAAATAATTGACGAACAAGTTCCTGAAACAAGATTATCAATTGTCTTTTTTTTTAAGTGCCCATTTCGTAAGGTCTATATAATCGACAAAATGCCTTTGTCAGTTTAGTGAAAAGCTTCAGGATGTTTTTCATGCTAATCCGATTTGTAAACATAGAATTACCGACGGGTTTTTCCATCATTTTCAAATAATTACAAGGAGTACACAGCGGGTGTTACCGGTCGGCAGGTGATACCCAACCAACCATTGACGTGATACAACCTCAAATGTTTGGAGCTCAATATTTATACCCCCACTCTTGAAAAGTGGTATATAGTAGTCGGTATGTCCGTCCGTCCATCCCTCTGTACGTCTAGCTGTCCGTACGTCCGTCTGTCTGTTACGCTTTTGGGTACTCATCTCTTATCCGCAGTCCCTCTTATACCAATGAGTGAAATTTAATGAAACTTTCACAGAATCTTCATTACTTATTGCCACTGTGGACCTTCCATTTTACTTTTTAATCTGACACATACTTTGGGTTTCCTGACCACAGCAAAACATGGACGTTGAAATTATAACAATATGGGAGGCGGGTATATCATCTAGTAAGCTCATTGCTCACAATACCTCTAGATGTTCTCAGATTTTATTTGACTTCTGAGCTTGAATACAGTTCACAATATCCATATATTTCACTATTAATTAAGTCAAAGTAAAGAAAAAAAAATCAACATTTCAAATAGTAAAGAAGACATTCCTAAATGCATATTCATTGGATATAGATACTGAACTATACTGAATTGCAGAAGACAAGCAACGATGCGTCTTTTCAAAAGATGGCCTTAGGTGTTAAGCAGGTGATTTTCACTGCATTTCTTGGAAGTAATATTGTACATTATAATTTTTGGAGCGCTCGATCGGCATTGTAAGTGAAGGGCACACAATTAAGGACACTCGCTGCTTAATGGACCTAAGTGCCGAGTAAAGGTCTACGAAGGTTGATCCAGGAGTGCGTAGAATGTCATTATATTTTATCTATTTATCTATTTTTAAGTGTTTTTGTCAGAGAATTACAAAATGAGAATATAGACACTTATAACTATTGAACATTGAAAATAAAAGAATTTTTTTCCTGCAGCTACGCCTTGCATTGACCAAATAAAGGTACCTTAATAAAGTAGAGCTTTACTCGGTCAATGTCATAAAAAGCCACCGTTCATGGTAGCTCAGTCGGTAGAGCGCTAGCTCTGTGATCGGGAGGTCGTGAGTTCGTATCTCGGCCGCAACTGTTCCTTCGCCATGCGCTCGGCACTTTGATGTGAAAGTTGCGGGTCCTTCGGATGAGACCTAAAAAACAGGCCCCGTGTAAACGGCAGGCGTTGGCACGAAAAAGATCCCTCACTGCTCAATGACCCTGAGTGCCGAGTAAAGGTCAAAATTTGAAGCCCTTCACCGGCATACGGTGACATATGAGTGAAAAATGCTCGAGAGGGGCGTTAAACAATATATACATATACATCATAAAAAGCCTAGTGAATGTATTCCGACGTTCTAAAACATTCGACCATTACATGTATTACATGTATTGCAATGTTTACGCTATGATATCTTAGTTTCCACTGCCAAAATGTCTAAATCGGGTTGCAAATAATTTATTTTGGAGGTCAGGTGTGAATTTATTTAGAACATGTAGAAGGATAAACAAAATACATGTCCATGGTCATTGTCTTGAAATATAAGCAATAATTTGGCTCGGTTAGGTCCCAAATTTAACGCATTATGAAAAAAAATGCGTAACATTTCAAAAGTGCTTTGTACCAGTACCCTTATTGTCAATTTTGACTTTATAAGTATATTATAAATATGCCTGATGATTACTTTTATCAAATCACGAAAAAGAATTTAGAAAGAAATTCCGCAAAATTTTCGATCCACCCTCGTAAATTACGTCAACTTTACCATAAAATTAAAACATTCTTGAATGGGACGTTAAACAATAAACAGTAAATTCATCAATCATTTTAAAGCTCCATGCAGTTATAATTGATCCCATGAAAGTCTGATATCACACTGCTCAACGCGTTATCGGCTACTCGGTTGTTATTGGACACTCGGTTGATAACAATTTTTGACAGGTTAATAATTTTTTTAAAATAAACTCTGATAAAATAGAAACAGAGAATATTGATTGTGCTTTTTGTAAACAGAAATGAATACGGATACAAAATGAAACCTCGATACGTACTAGTTTAGCATTTGTTAGCCCTTGGAAGGCTTTAAAAGTCAAATTTGTTATATTTTGCAAGTTTTTCTCCAATAGGCATTGCTGTAAATAGCTTTTTTTCAAAGTCCTTATGTTTACCTTGCTTTGATGATTGGTCAAAAGAGGACTTCTTCAGAATCTTGCGAATATGTAATTAAAGGGCAAAAAATGCCCGATTTTAAATTTCAGTATGTTATCGGAAACACGGTTGAATAATGCACTTTGTTATCGGATAATAAATGAAGGAAAAACGCAAAGAAACCACAGAAATCTGTATGAAATCAAAATATTTAAAGTAGCTGGGGCGAAATTCTAATTTTTGGCTATAATTTGCATCTTTCAGAATATACAACTTCTAAAAAATGAGTGTTTTTTGGCATTTCTCACCTTTATCTGAATGACCTTGACCTGTTTGAAAATATGGTGTAAGTTTTAAATTTCAGTGGTTAGAGTGTCTGCTTTAGAGTCGACAAGAAAGGAGTCGATTCTTACGTCACGGTTTCGTAACCAACAGTGGGACGTCGCAGTAGGAGCTTGCACAAAAGAGATCCCTGACTGCTCATTGGCCCCTAGGTGCTTAGAATATGACAAATTTTGAAGCTATCCTCCGGCAAGTAATGGCGTTTCGATATGACTGGAGGGGGTTAAACAAAATACAATCAAGTTGCTGAACGCATGGCAAAGGAAGAGTTGCTACCCATTTTGATCGACTTAGGTCAGTCGCCGCTGAGTTTCAAACTCACAACCTTTCGAACACGAATACATTTATCAGTTTGCTATACACATGCAAAATAATTTAAAATCAAGGATGCCCAGATGATTTTTCCAAATCGGTAGTTAGACCAAAATATATGACATAAAATTCAAAATTTTGACTTAAAAAAAATACAACTTCGGATCTCTTAAACATCGGAGGTAGTTTACCAAGAAGGAATAAGAACCCCCTGATAAACGGTCACATCCCGCAGTGTGCTCAAATTCTATGTGTAGACAGCGCTAATGCTAGAATTGATAGGGGGCTGACATGGATTTTCGCAATGCTATTGGGTGTATAATTTAATTTTAGTTGTAACACGTCGTTTGATTGGTTAAATGGTTTTATCCATTTTGTATAACATAACTTGACTACGTCTCAATGGGTTACGTCAAAAAGGTATTACTCCGCTTGACGTTAATTTTAAAATAATGCTCAATTTTAAGGGTTTTCCGGAGGAAATATTGTCTTATTGTCTACCGTGAAATTAAAACATAAGGAATAAAGCTTAATTCAACTTATGTTATCCAATATAACAAAACTTTTTGGCTGTTTACGCTTTCTTATAAACCGCTTCGCGGTTTATAAAGCGTAAACTGCCCCATGTTATGTTATATCGGATAACATAAGTTGAAATAAGCTTCATTCCTTAATTAACTGAAGCAAAATATCTCTGCCACCCTCTCCCCCTTGTAATTAAAAACGCAAATTACTGATTGTAAAAAAGTTAAACATACGAAGAACTGAAGTGAATCAACTAACACCCCCCTCCTTAATAGATATTTTAACGGTTGAAAAAATAATACGCGCAACTAGGATAAGGCTGCCCGTAAAATATCAAACTGTTCAAACTGTACTTACTTCGCTGAACTACCTAAATATGATGTCATAATAGAATATGACGTCAAGTCACTGCATAATTGAGCTGACATGACGGGGAAAGTGTCATAATAAATACATGGCATTTGAATTTATTTTGGAGACTTATTGTTTAATTCAAGTGTAAGGATTGTTTATTAAGCTCGACTTTGCTGTTATGATTAGAACATTTGAAATTTAAATATCCTTATTCCTTTTGCTTGTCCGATATGCTCATTTTTTCAAACAATAGAGAAAATTAATGTGTGAAACGCTCCCCTTACACGTCAGTAGACAGAGTTAAAAATTTATGAAGCGTGTTTATATTGGACTGGCACAAGTGATAAACAAGGACAAATTGAAGATAATCTGTGTGATTCTACAAGAGAAGTATGTCCCCTGACTGAATTTTGCTAGGGGATTGTGTGTAGTTTATCCATTTTCGTAGAAATTGCGATAAAGAGTGGAAAATACCCCTTTTTTGTTGGTAAGTTGAATTTCTCGTAAAATATTTACTAACCGTGTAAAAATTAAACCTGCCCCAAGCATTTTCTATTTACTAGAGATCACGATGAATTGATCTATGTAACAAATTTTGCACAATATTTTTGTTTTGCACTTGTGCCAAAGCGATTTTTGTGCAACAATTAGGAATATCATAAATCTCCGTCACGTGATCAAGACAGTCATGTGACATTACAAAAATGCTGAAAAGTAAAACCTGACTAAACTATTATCTCAAGTTGACTGTTGACTGTTGACTTGTTGAACTTGTTTTTATTTCTCAAAAATAACGTAATTCATGAAACTATAGACTAACACAAAATTGTTATGATTAATTAAACATGATATATTTACGTTTGAAACTGCCTGAAGCGGTGTCCAAGAGGTTATCTTGAAAGGAAAGCAAAAAAAATGGTTTTACAGATGAGTAGTTCTTCTATTATAAATTTATAATTATTCATCTTATTTATATATATATGTACATTGTATACATTTATATCAAAACAAACTTTTACGTTTGCTTTTTTCCAGTACTGGCAGATTAAAATTGAATTTTCCAATCTATTTATGAAGCTAAAGTAAACTTTTTAAACTGAGTTTCCTATAATGTACACCCGTCAAAAAACCGAAGTATCCGGCAACATCAACCGTGTTGACGATAACATGTTTTCAACTAACGAGACATTTTAAAAGACTGTTTACTAACCCTTAATTTAGATTTTTAATCTCAGATTGCTGATTGTCCATACAATAAATAGATCATTTTGTTTGATAGAATAAACTAATTTTGAATTCAACAAAAGTTAAAGTGTGATGACATAGTCCGAAATTTTTGTAAAATATTATTTGAAAGAGCTGTAGATCTTTTGACAGAGAAGAATATGGAGATAACGAACAGTATTCAGTCTCAAAGTCCATAAAACAATACAAAATAAGAACAGAGCAAACACGGACCCCCGAAACACCAGAGGGGAGGTCAGGTGCCATGGAGGAGTGAACATCCCCTGCCGACCGGTCACACCCTCCGTGTGTTCCTTGTCATGATCAGGAAATAACGGAAAAAATCCATCGTCAATTCAGTGTATAAATAATGGACTAACAATTTGTATGAAAAACGTCAATCAACAATTGACTTAATAAATTGTGTTTCCTGACAAGGTCATTGTATCGACCATAGAACTGACAAAGTGATGACTTTAAACGAGACTGCTGATATTCTAGTTTCAGAAACTTGCTTGTCAATAATTTATCTCGTATTAGAAATTGTTCATACGTAGAACATGTTCTTGCGTATCGAATCAACTGAGATATATATTACCCCTACTAATGTTATTGTGATTTAAATTCAAGACACATGGTTTAGGTTGATCTATTTAAAGGTTATAGGGTAGAACCGGTTTTATAAATAAAATTGGCAGTAAACATGATATTGCTATAGCCTGTTTCTTTTGAAAACATGTCATGTGATAAAGGTTTCCAGATCTTTCTGTCTTCTGAGAGAATTCCATGATTTTCAATAGAAAAAGGGTGGCTAAAGGAGGGGGTTTTAAAATAACAATATATCTTATACTTTTTGGCGAAAATTGGACCTCACTAGGGACCGATACGCTGTTAAAAAAATTGTATTATCATTGATCTACAATGACAACCCTTTGTTTGTCTATATGGCTATTGTTATAAATGTGCACAGAGGGTCTTATTACGAGAAACTGACAAATTGTAGAATGAATAGCAACGTTTACGCAAAATACATGATTACATTTTATTCAAACGCGTAGTTCAGGACAATTTCGGATCATGTCAATGGATTGCAAAATAAAAATAATGTTCTTACAAACAAAATACAAAGATAAAATACTATGAAAGATGTTACTGGAGTTTTTAATTTGTTGTTAACTGAAAAAAATGTTTAATAAAATGTAGTTTTTGTCTAGTTAGAACACCGGCGCTTCAAGGGTAAGGAAACCAAGCAGCATCTCTTAAGCATTTAAATGGACAGAACTTTGTTATGCCCCTGTAAACGAAGTTTCGGGGGGTATATAGTATTTGTCGTGTCCGTCTGTCTCTCTGTCTCTCTGTCTTCCTGTTTGTCGGTTTGTCTGTTTGTCCGCAAAAACTTTAACCTTGTTCATACTTTTCATTTTGTGGAGCTGTGACTTTCATGTTTCATATTTGTATTTCTTGTGACAAGACCTTTCTTTGGGTACCACCAAATTTGACCTTTTGACCTTGGGATTTGACCCACTTTACACAAAAGATTAAGATTTTTACTTTGACCCTAACTTTTGAACAGTAGATACTAGGATATTTATCCTTAATATATATATCTTTTGTAGCAAGACCTTTTACTGGACACCATCAATCTTGACCTTTTGACCTTGACCTTGTAGGTTTATGTTATAACGAGAAAACATTAACCTTGGCAATAACTTTTGAACAGAAAGGGCTAGAACTTTCGTACTTCACATATGTAATCCTAGTAAGAAGGCGATTCATTGGATACTAAGAGCGTTGACCCTTTGACCTTGACCTTGGAGTTTGACCTACTTTTAAAAACAGCAGACCTTTATTTTAAAGGGTAAGAGCTAGTACTTTCATACTTCGCATATTTAATCCTTGTGACAAGACTTTTCACTTGATATCAAGGCCTTTGACCTTTTGACCTTGACCTTAGAGTTTGAACTACTTTTAAAAAATCTTAACCTTGGCCATAACTTTTGAACGGTTAGAGCTAGAGCTTCCATCCTTCACATATATATTTTTTGTAGAAAATGCATTTATTGGATATCAATAACTTTGACCTTGACTTTTTGACCTTGACCTTGGAGATTTCCGGACTTATGAAAAAAATTTAGCCTTGGCAATAACTTTTGAAGAGTAAGGAATAGGTCTTTCTTACTTCATATATGTTATTCATGTGCCAAGACCTTTCATTCAATACCAAAAACCTTGATCTTCTGACCTTGATCTTGGAGTATAACGTACTAATATAATCTTTTTAACCTTGGCGATAACTTTTGAATGGTTAGGGCTAAGGCTTCTAAACTTCAAACATGTGATCTTTGTGGAAAAACCTTTCATTGGATATCAATAACCTTGACCTTATGACTTTGATCTTGAAGATTTCTGTATTATGAAATTTTTTTAGCCTTGCCATAACTTGGAAACAGGTGGTGATAGGGCTTTTATGTTTTACAATTTGTATTTCCAGTAAGAAGACCATACTTTTGGTACCAATATATTAAATTTGCATCTAAGAAAGGTTTAATCTTCACAATGTTGCCATACGCATGATACGGGGGCATCAGTATTTCACAAAAACATCTTGTTTACGTTGGTGATCACGTGTTCGGGCAGGGAATCCACTTGGCAATTGTATTCACTGATAGTACAACAAAGGCAAATCGCTTTTGCAGTATGACTTTCAGAAACCTAGACTTCCACCTTTTATTTAACAAATGAATTGTTTGTCATAATAAGCATGAAAATAATCATAAAATGCTTTTCATTTACCATGTAAGATTTCTCTTTTTTTCGAGGGTAAAATTCCTGTAGTATCCGTAGTAACCCATAAAGCAATACTTAGTCCGCTGATTGATCAGTTAAAATCATGCTGGTGCCTCATTTGCTAATTTGACGCTAAAAATATAGTCCCGCTTCCTATGCAAAAATATGTGTCCAAAACGAACATTTAATTCATGACTGCAGAAAATTGTATTATAGAGAATTTTAATAAGTTTGAATAAATGTAAGAGAGATCCATTTCTACAGACATTATCAGCTGATTCTAGGGTGGTGAAAACTGAAAGGCAATATAACTTTTCTGTTTACCATGCCTCCACGTGTTAGTCACTTCCTAGCCAAATTTTCGTGAATAATTTACCCTATCTCGCTGAGTCTCGCTAACTCTCGCCAGAGTCACTGCCAGGGCTACCTTTGAAGTCATCGGGTTTTATAATTCGCAGAACACTTAACTAACTTAAGAGATTCCAGAGTTTAAAACTTAGGCAAAAAACCTTTTCGTTTAAGAGTTACTGTTCATTGACAAGTTGTAAGCGTTAGATCTAGCAATTCTATTCATACGATATTACATGATATATGTAAATGTTGTTAAAACAATATAAACAATCATGAAGCAAAGGCTTATCAATTTATACGTATGTAAATCTGCAGGTTTAAAATTAAATATGAATGTTTTACTATGGTCGTTATATATTGCTGATAGTGTTTTAAGTAAATTCATGTAAATATATTCATTTTTAATGACGTCATCATTTAAATAAAACTTTAACATTTGATACTATTATACAATATCTTATGCAAATCTGCATTATATAAAACATAAAACATTGAGATAATATCGTTATCGGCGAACAGTCGCTTTCGTGGCAAAGATGAAATCACATTTTCTAAACAAAAAATTAACATCATAATGAATTCATTTGAAAAAGGTTTGTTAATTATATTCTTTCATTTATAAATAATTCAGACTTAAGAAGATCAACAATCAATGATACGGCAATCAAACAAAAGAAGGTTGACTTGATGTATGTGATTGAAATAATATGATAGTTATTATAATTATAGCTATAATAGTGATAATTATTGATCAATTTTTAAGCGACTATGCGGGCAACTGGTTTCTCCCTGTATACTTATGATGAGGTATCTTATGAGCCTCCGAATGGAAACTCTGGAAGTCTTATTTTCAAACACGATCCTATGTCCGAATGCCCAAAGTCTTTCTGGAACATAACTGTGAATACATTAGCCCAGGGAATAGCCTTCTATAATGAAAGACCAAGGGGATTTAGGACAAGCTGTACAACCACAGATGTAACAAAAACTTCAATTGAAATATGCGAAGTGAGAGTAATGGGTAAGTTTAACTTTACTAAATAATATTTTTTTCAATTAATTTTGCTAGGACAATAAGATTAATTTATCAATTTTTGTGTAATTTGATATTTCCCGTTTTTTATGTTGAGTGTCTTGGTATTTTGCATCTTGAAAAAAAATCTAACATAGAAAAATTTTGAGAACAAAAGATTGTTATCTTCTGTATATATTGCAGGTTGTGACCAAAATAGATACGACTTTGGGTGTAGAAAACCATGCGATGCTAAATGTAAGGACAGTCATTGCGATGTTTTTAACGGATCATGTATTTATGGATGTTCTAATCCTGATGCCGTGTCCATAGATTGTGGTAAATTCTATTTCAAGTGTTAAAAAAACATAACCATCGTATTACAACAATATCCCCAGAATCAATAATGAAATTTAAATGTTATTTTCCAAATATATGTGAGAAATGTCTATGCAAGAAAAGTAATATCCCGCATATATTAATATAGAAATTCTCTAAACATATTAAAAGATGAGCTACAGCAATGTTTATTTTTATATGAAAATACTATTTTGAGAATATGACGAATAAAATTCAATAAATAAAATTAATTCTTTACACACATTTAAATATTGTTTGCCTTAAAAGCCATTCTTATTTTATAAAAGGTATCTTACAGTTAAATACTGCTAATTTTCATTCAATCTCTTTTTAACTTTGCATCATTCATTACATATCATATAAACAATTTGTTTCCTAGAAATGTACATATTTTATTTTACTTTGTGTCAGTGTGTGAAGACGGTAAGTATGCTTTTAATGGAAGATGTGAACCATGTGGGCACTGTCAGGTTGGCACGGTGTGTGACAAAGGAACGGGAAGATGTCCGTCTGGGTGTAATGAACACTGGAGCGGGGATCTTTGTAAAGGTATGTATGTATTTGAATTATAATTAGTCCTTCAAGATATTAGATTCTGGAATTACCAAGAGGTCAATTCAGCAATTTAGTTATCGGTTTTGATTTCAGGATTTGTAGATCGATTTGTGGTCCTTATCAACCCTACGATAAAAATCACATGACTGTACTTATCCACTTCTTTGAAATATGATGTCTTTTCTATGTTTAAGTGCATGCAGCAATTAACTATCCTTATTTTCCATATTGAATAAGTTTACGACTCTGAATTTAGCATATTTTGTCACAGTGCTGTAACAAAGTTTATCACAGTAAAATAGTGTTAAGGCACTCCTTCGAAATATATACCTAGACCTTGTGCAATTTTGATTTTAACCATCAACGTTCCCTTGAAGTTAAATAAAAAATCCTAATTTTAGCCAGATGTGTTATAATGTGTTATAATTCATTTCACGCTCAACTGGATTTATCGTATCGATATACGAATGGAAATAACCATTGTTTATTAATAATGCGTCGTCGATATGTCTTAAAGTCGAACTGAAAGCCAGATAAAGTGTTTTTCTTCTTTACATGTACACGATTTTTGACAAGCTGTGCTTCAAGTGAATGCAAAAAAGTCCCCAAATAACGAAGCGCAATTTGTACCCAAAAGATTTCAAATAAATTATTGGAAGACCTTGTCTCAATCGTAAACTTGAGCATCTTAATATTATCAACTTCAGAAAACTTTTGTGTACAATAAGAATATTTAACTATATAATTTCGCACATGACCAATGGCAAAATAAATAAATTTATGAGATCCTTTTTATTGATAAAGCAGCGGTCAATGAAATTGAAAAAAGGCTAGTCAATTATTTTAATTAAGGTTATTTTATGATATTTTAAAATTCAATTCTGTCACTCTTAAGGATTTCACAATTACAATACAATATTAATTAAGAAGAACATGAACATGAAAACTTCTTCGCAAAACATTGGGAAGATCACAAACATCACTCAACTCCAGATACAAGATTTAATAAAAACATGCGATATTTCGTTCAAATTCCTCAACTTGATCCGTGAAGAGGATATCCTTTGCATAAAACATAAACTATGAAGATTCATCAGTTAAACTAGGGTAAACAATGTTCTGTTTAAACTCATTGAACAAGAACATTCCCTTTAATAGAATGTGCTGATGGTTACTATGGACAGAATTGTGGTTCCACGTGTGGAAATTGTCTTCAAGGATTCTGTGACAAGAAAAGCGGAACGTGTTTGTCTAATTGTAAACCAAACTGGAAAGAGCCATTATGTCAGGGTAAATAGTGCGTTTTATGATGATCATTGTGCATTATGCTCGTGTTATAGTTATTTTGCCTTTGTATAAAGATTTTGTATATATTAAATATTAAAACACTTAGGAAAAAGTTTCATATTTGTTAATAATAAGGGGAAATTATAAACATTTCAATTGTAGAATGTGTTGACGGTTACTACAGCCAGGATTGTAGTACAAGATGTGGTAATTGTCGAGAAGGTCATTGTGACAAGAAAACCGGAAGTTGTTTGTCTGGCTGTAAAGTGAATTGGAAAGAACTTTTATGTCAAGGTATATATTAAATTAAATAATCATGATTATTGTGCATGGAATATGATAGGGTTTCCAGTTCTCTGGCATTTGCTTTGAAATGTCCTCCCCATTAGATATAATAAATACAAAGGAGGAAACGTTTCTTATTTGTAATAAGCTTTATATCTGCAATTTACAAGGGGGACTCTTTGAATTATAGAGTGTGTTGACGGTTACTACGACCAGAATTGTAGGACACAGTGTGGGAATTGTAGAGAGGGACATTGTGACAAGACCACTGGACATTGTCCATCTGGTTGTAAACTGAACTGGAAAGAACCTTTGTGTCAAGGTGAAAAATCCATATTTACAAATGTCTGTATCTGTTTCTTTCCCGTTTAATTAACGGAAGCTGAAATATATATTAAAAATAATATGTTGACGGTGCGACCGTTAGAGCGAGCGCAAACTCTTCTATTGTTTTGATTTAGATCGGGCTCGTCAAACCGCACGTGACATTTGGTGCGTCTAGACTCTGACGTCACATGACGTCGTATGTAAGTTACAAATACCAAGAAAAAACTGAACAGTGCTGAAAGTTAATGAAAAAAGTTACGTTTACAATTTATCTTCAATATGTATCCATTTAATCAAGGCTAATAAACTTTTTGTTGAACAATTTTGCCGTCATTCTTGCGAGAACACAACTTTGCTAAGTGATGCATTGTGGGTCAAAATTACTGCAGCAAAAAATTCTAAAGAATGAATGTGCAGTAGTCCGAATTTTCTCTTCGCCCAGGCGTTGTCGTTAGAGCTCGCAGTTACGAGCGTCTCTTCGCGACGCTAGCTGCGCTCGCTATAACTTTTAAAACTGAGATCAAGTACCTGCAAATAAAAAATACACAATGAATGTTTTAAAATGTGCTGACGGTTATTATGACCAGAATTGTATTACCCGGTGTGGAAATTGTCAAGAAGGTCATTGTAACAAGGAAAACGGAAGTTGTTTATCTGGTTGTAAACTAAACTGGAAAGAACCTTTGTATCAAGGTAGATGCTTCTTCTTATAACAAGGTTTAAATCTCTACTTCAACTACCTCTTGCATTGACCGAATAAAGTTAATCTATTGAACCAAAGCGTTATTTGGTCACTGCTCCAATAAAGCCTCATGCATGTATTTCGACGTTCTAAAAGCATCGTGACGTCATGTATATTGCAATGTTTACGTCATGGCGTCATATGTATATGTTTAAATCTGTGCAAAAAAGCTAGCTTGGTCGTTCAAATGTAAAGAAAATTATGTTCCAGGATAAACGAAATACATGATAACTATTTTAAAATCCAAGCGATATTTGAGCTCGGGTCGAAAATGTAAGAGGACTCGGTAAGCCTCGCCCTCTATCACGTATTTTTACCCTCGCGAAAATATCGCTTATATTTCAAGACAATTACCATGTAATCTATATTTCTTCCCAATTAAGCATAATTAATTTGGTTACGAATCGACTGGTTTTAGTTTCCTTGTTAAAACAACATAAAATAACATAAAGTTAATATATTGTTTTAAAATTGTAAATCTTCAACTGACGATTTCTTCTTCTTCTGTGCTCATGATCCAACATTTTGAATATCCTGGGGTTTCGTGTTTTGTTTTTGTTTTTTAGCTCTGTGTCGTTACTCGTTTGAACCATTGCTTTTTTGGAGTTAAACTATGTTAATACTCCCTAGGTTGTCACGCGATTTCTAGCGCAGTAATTTTACAATGAATTATATAGCGGCTGTCGTGGTGTTTCTGTGTCGCCCAATTTACTCCCCTGTGATATTCAATATAAACTCGCACCAGTCTTTATAAACTCGAAGAAACTTCCGCAATAAAAATAGTCCATCTCATTTCTCTGAATTAATCTAATTTTCATAAATGATGTGAAAGCAAATAAAAAGGATTTTATTTAACTTATTTTGAATAGCATATTTTTGTCACCTCTCTTGAGAAATGACACGTAAATTTTGATTTCCGTGTGAAAAAAAGTCCCGTCATTTATCATTCGGCAATCCTCTGCTGAATCCACTACGCTCCATTACAAAAAGTGCGAGGTCATCAAAGGAGCAACAAGTGGTCTAACTGGTTTGACAACGACGCGATTGTCTAAATATAGAGATGTAAACAATGTAAACAGATGTAAAACGCTAAGGTTTAACCGAACTTCTTTCAATTTGTTTCAGCAATAAAGAGACAGAACAACGTTATTTTTAAAAAAAAAATACTATGGAAAATATCACTGTTGGACATTTATTTGCTCTGGCAAGTAAAATGATCTGTTAGACTGGAACATTTTTGTCAGACCAGATACATGCAACTCATTTTTTTACGTTGGTAAAGGGAAAAAATAATAGCATTAAAGTTTGTTGATATTCGATCTGACAATTTCAAATGACATTAATTTAACATCCTTTATTTCACGAGTTTATCAGCATTCAGTTGGTCTCATGTACAACACCAAATCTGAACTTGAAAAATGTGTATGTACTTGCATTGCAGTATTTCCTTATAAAATGTATCATTTGATTTTATTATATAATTAAATCAGTTAAAATTAATGAATACATGCGTATGCACGGACACAATGGTATTATAATCCCAATGATCGATCTGTGAGAAAGATCTTACCTCATTACTTAATTACATTTGAATCAAATCAAAATCACAAACTTTTAAGTGTCAGTCGCGTGGCGCAGTTGTTAATAGAGTTTGCTCTAGAAATTCGAAGTATAAGGCGTTAATTGATCCTTACGTCGCAGGTTCGAATCCTGTGGGATGCATATGGAGATAAACTCTTTTGATGAAACTGAAATCCCATGTCGCAATATATGCTTGCACAAAACGACCCCTCACTACTTAACGGATTTGAGTGCCGTATATAGGTAAAAATTTGTAGACTTACATGTAGCTAGCTCCATCGACAAGTGGTAGTGTCCAAATATAATTGAAAAATTATCGAACGCAAAACAAACAAAATGTAAAGTATTCAGATACTTACTGTTTCTTTAAAGAAATTACTTGAAATGAAATTTAAAATTAGGGAATAACAAAACTTGATGATTAAGTTATAAAGATAGATACATTTGATCAAACAGATAAGCACGGAGTTCATTAAAAATTAATTATTATGTCCGAAAAGAAACATTCATACCCAAAAGAAATAAATATACATTTTTTTTTCAATAGATGGCACTGTAGCTCTACGGTCTGTCAAAATCTTTTTCGGACAGCTACAGTTCTGCAGCTAATTTAAAGCAGTCCCATGATCTTGGCAATTCAAATGCAATAGAAATTATTTTTAAAGTTACGTGTTGTATCTCTAACAAATCAGTTCTAGCTGACTTGAATCTGAAAGCATGATATTGTTCCTATACTTCCCGTGAGATCTTTCAGATAACAATGTTCAACTCCCATGAGTACTTTCAGTACTTTGATTTTTCTCTGGATTTGTGAGATCAACCTTTGATTCTTATCTATGACCATAGCGTTTTTATTATACCATATTTCAAGCTTAATTAACGGGAGAGTGGATGAAAAAAAATTACGAAAACCAACTCATAGAAATTTATTTATTTTGCAAATTAAATAAACTCCGTACCTAATAAAACTTGAACCGGTTGCAACAAAGTTCTAACTTACCCGGTACCCTGGCATAAGGCATTGTCCGTAAATTTTATTCAAATTTGAATAGAATTTCAATAGCTATCGTAATTTTAATAAAAAGTGTACTTGATTTTCGTGAAGCAGCAAAAGGATAATATGGTAGTGCAAGAACCTAGAAATTCAGATGGCATCCAACCCGATTTAAAAAAGAAAATCAAGGCGGCGATTATCATGAATGGACTTTGAAATAATTGAATTTCTATACTTACCTTATATAAACTATTAGGCCTGTATACACACTTGTATCTGATGAAACTTAACTAACTTTTATTTTTAAAACACTGACGAACTGAAATAAAGTACAGTCGATTGTTGATTCTAATATTCTTCATATAAATGGAAAGAGAGTATTTGAAGTGTAAAAGCTAATATTAAAATGCAACAGATATTAAAACAAAGATTTCTTACACGTGAAGAGAAAATATCAATGAATACATATATAACATAGTACAAAAGATATCAAAATAAGTCTGCTCTTTATTAAATGCGAGGTAAAAATACCAACTGATGAATTACTAAAAAAAAATAATAATAACTGGTACATATTTTAATATGAGACCTTCCTTTGTTCTTAAACTAACTTTGCAAATTTGAAGAAAATTTTCTTACGCTCTTAGCCTCATATTACAGTAATTATCTTTGAGTGCAAACTGAAAGATTAAAAAAATCTCCTGAGCTTGCGCATGAGTCCATCTAATAATTTAAGGACATGTTGAATCCTTAAGTTTTGAACGCTCAACTTTTACCAATTACAGAATGTGTTGACGATTACTATGGCCTGAATTGCAGTACAAAATGTGGAAATTGTCTAGAAGGATTTTGTGACAAGAAAAATGGATCTTGTCAATCTGGCTGCAAACAAAACTGGAATAAACCATTATGCCAAGGTAAACATTAAACACTGGACTGGAAGCAAAGAATTTAATATTAATGTAATGAGATAAATACCTGGATGGAATTCAGTCAATTAGTCCGTAGAAAGTAGGACCTTTAAAATTCAGCATTAAACATCACATGTTACCACACTATCATTTTCTTACATTATCTGAGAGTAAAACAAAAGACAACAAAGAATAGTCTTTAAATTTTTATACTTAGATGAACTTACAAACTGATTCATTCATGAAAGTTTTTTTTTTCTTTTTACCTTACCTCCTTCTTATGACAGAACATACAACTGGTTACTTGATTTTTAATCTAGATTATTGTAAGAATAATTGAACTGCAAACCTGATATATAACTATGCCATTTCAATCCCAACATAAAGGAAATCTTGAGGCTTTTCTAACACTTATAGCAAACTTTGAATAAATTACAATGTTGGATCGTTGTTCAATGGGTACCTCTTGTGTTTCTCGGATTAATGTTTTGAATGATAACGTTCAACAAATTGTCATATTAGTAAAAAGAGACAGTTGGCTTTCAAGTAACCATTTTATAAAGTACGCCCTTAAAGAAAAGCATTCAATTTGTAATGTTCACCTGTTTTTGTGTTTTAAGTTGACGACTGGCTGACGGTCAAATTGACATTTGTTTCATTGAGCATACTGGTTTTCATTTGTCTTAAAAAAAGCCAATTTAATTATTTACGTATAATCACATTGACAAAATTTTCGCTTTAAATGAAGCAGTAAATATAATGATGATGATTTAATTCCCTGTATGAGAATGTTTTTGTATTTTTCTTAAGTGAAACACATTGATTAATAGACATCAATAAGAAATTAAAAAAAATCTTTTATTGGCTTCATGTGCATTAAATTAAGACATTGACTAGGCATCTATTTCTTATCGTATTATACACGAAAAAATATTAAAGCAAGAGCTTGCTCTACGTTTGAACAATTTCTAAAACGAGGTATATAATTGACAAGTAAGTTGATGAAACAAGAATATCAGCAGTTTCGTTTAAAATCATCATTTCATAAGTTCCATGGTCGATACAATGACCTTGTCAGCAAATACAATTTATCATTCAGTCAAATGCTGACAGACGTTTTTCATACCAGTTGTTAGTCTATTATCTATACACTGAATTGAAGACGGATTTTTCCGTTATTTCCTAATCATTACAAAGAACACACGGTGGGTGTGACCGGTGAGCTGCTCATTTCCTCCATGGCACCTGATCCTACCACTGATGTATCGGAGTTCCGTGTTTGCTCTGCTCCTGTTTTCTATTGTTTTAAGACCTTCGATATTAAATTCTGTTCGTTATCTCCATATCCTTCTGAACATTTCATTTAATTATTGAAAATATATATTTAGTATAAGTATTACACATATTGACTTAATTTTATTTTACATAATAATGGTTTTAGAATGCGTTGATGGATTTTTTGACAAGGACTGCAGTACACGGTGTGGGCACTGTCTTACAGGAGTTTGTGACAAAACAGATGGTACTTGTATGAGTGGATGTTCACTAAACTGGCAGGAACCCTTATGTCAAGGTAAAAGAGTAAAATCCACTTGAGCATATTTGGCCCTGAACATTTCTGAAAATTCAAAACATTTCTATTAAATATAACCTTATTTTCCCTCAATGCATTCTGACGTCACCAAATAAGTCATTTTTCCCACATTTTGTCCATCGTTTGAAAATGACCTGAATTGGAAGCAATTTTCCTGTTTTTAATATGCAATTGTGTAATGAAAGATCTTTTTTCTGAAGATTAAAAAGGGTGTTTTAATTTTTAGATCGTCTGAAGCATTCTGTTTAAAGACACTAAAATATATTCCCAAGTCTTCTATTTCTTACAATGCAAGTAATCTTTTTTTGATAATAGTTAATAGTCCATTTGTCTGAAATGACCAATATATGGATATTATTTCCTAGAGAGAGCATGATGACCATGACAACCCGTGTATTGGGGCTTTCTTTCTATCATATTCAATAAGTTTAAAGTCTAAAGTAAACGGTGTCTAGGAGTCTAATAATAAAATCATTGTTAAGACATTCATCTATTTTTCTAGCTGTAACAAATTATTCATCTCTTTCCAAGCTTGCTTTCACTGGGGTACAAAATAAACGTCATATTTAACCATCTCCCTCCTTTCACTTTGGCAATCTATCCAAGATATGATTCAGCGTCTGGAACGTCTTCATAAACCTTGTACAAGTTCTTAAAAGATACTTCAAAGGAATTCGAAAGGTATACGTTAAACTTTACAGCCGTTCGTTGCTCGAAGAAGACATATTTTTCCTCACGAGTCACCTACAAATTGACGTCATTTTCATATGGTGACCTCACAATGATGGAGAAAATCACTACTACTTTGCACATGCCATTTTAGGAACATGTCCAAGACTATAAGTGTGCCAATTTCTTTTTTAATCTGAATCTTAGTTTTGTAAATATAGAGTTTGTTCGCGACTTGTTGATCAAACTCGAATAAAAAGAGATGAAAAAATGTGATAAAAAAAAGCGAATTGAAGTGATAAATTATTTATAGTATAATTACAGTAAAACCTGTGTAGTAGAAACACGAATATTGCGAATTCATGGATATAGCGAAGTCATATTTGATCCCTAACTATATATATTTAATAAATTTCTTTTATTATATAATATAATGAATTACGAACTCAATATAGCGCAATAATTTCATATGTCCCATTGACTTCGTTCAAACCGAGTTTTGTTGCACAACTAAATACCTCTTAACTGATTATTATCAATTTTGTTTTAAACCTAGAAACCTGGAAATATTTATATACTCTCATATTACATGTTTACATATCATAAGAGATATGTTATAAAATAAAGGAGTCCATTTTACAATAGATCGATGCTGCATTTCCAAAGTTTCTCTAAGAATATATAATATAACTACTTTTTTGATTCTCCTTCCTTTCTAAAGCAACATGCACATTTTGTTTTTAACATTAATTCAGCATTATAATCAATTCATAATTCAGAGTGTGTTGATGGATTTTATTTCGAGGACTGCAGTAAATCATGTGGAGAATGTCTTGGTGAAGTTTGTGAAAAGAAAAATGGATTTTGTAAAAGTGGATGTTTAAAAAACTGGCAGGAACCTTTGTGTCAAGGTAGATTTTCTCTCTTTCCATTTAATGTTAAGGTTTTTTTTTCTTACACAGAGATCATATAAATTTCTACAAGTAAAGGAAGTATACTTTAGTTAACGATATATAAAAAAAGCAACTGATTCCTTGATTTATCTTTTTTTGGAATTCCAAAGTTATATCTTTTTCAAATGCAAGAGTTATATTCCGCCGAAATATGGCTGAAAAATTGCCGACTCAGCGTTAAAAAATATACAATCATCTAAAGTTACATTACTTTGATTTAATATCGGAAAAATTGGATTAATAATTGCATTAACTTTTATACTTACATAAAGGTTTGTATATAATATACATGTATAGCTAACTACTTTTGAAGTAAATGTTATAATTTTAGAATATATTAATGGATTTTACGACCAGAATTGCAGTACACAATGTGGTAATTGTCGGACTGAATTCTGTGATAAGAAAAATGGAAGCTGTTTAAATGGTTGCAAAACGAACTGGGGAGGACCCTTGTGCAAAGGTTGAACTTATAAAATATGCCTTTGTGCATTATTCCCTGAAATGTTCTACGATATTTTTCCATAGCCTTGAATTAAATCGAGTAAATGTACGTTGAAATCCTGATTAGATTCAAACATATATATGTTATAAGTATTTTTGGAGTATTTCTTTCTTACCGAATGTATTATTCATTTTCCTTATAACATAGAAAAAGTGATAATTCAAAAGCTAAACGGAACATTATCTCATGGAACACTCACATCACAATTATCAGCTGAACGTCTTCAAGTAATAAAGGTAACATTGTGAGAAACCCACTAGGAATCTGATTCAATGAAAACATTAAAAATGTTTTAATCCTATTGAAAAATACTTGTTCAAAATGAAAACTTGATCTGTACATGTACTTAAAAGAGAAACACAACTCATATTTACTGAAAATTCCTCTCGTGTATCAGATAAACCGGAAATCAATAATTATCAAACGGTATTTAAAAATTGTTTTGGCACATTTTTTTTTTAATTGCTTTGACCGAGTGTTATATAGAGTACATAGGTGATGGTTTTAATATTAATTTTATTCACATACCAATTAAGGTGACTCTACTTGAAAATATAAGTACATATCAACTTATTTAATGATAATCGTAAACGTTTAATAAAAAAAAATTGTAATTTTTAAAAACAAATAAATAAAAATATGAGGGATAGTCTGCAGTCAAAAACCAATGTAAAACATTGGAGTAATTTGAATTTAGATTTGGCTCGCTTATATTACAAAGAAACGATCTGATCTGAGAGCTCATTCTGATAATAGTCAACGAAAATTCTGAGCAAAAAGTAAATCAAAGAAACTGTTCGCCGACTCAATCTACCTGCGCATCAGAAACACGAATTTAAAGTGTGATATTTCAATAGATAAATATTATATAAATAAATCCGCACATATTACAAAATACAGATGATACAAACAATTTTTTTCTTTAAAAAAGATTAAATATCATGTCATAATTTTAGAAAAGTGGATGGTTCTTAGAATCTTTTCTCCGAAGAACTGGAAAATGAAATAGATTTGGAAAATTTAAGTAATAATTCTATGAAAAAACAAATATAGACAAATCACATTCAGTAAAGGTTTACAGATGAAAATAAATTTCGGAATATGTTATCCCGGGGTTAAAAGTGTAATATTAACCTTAGAAAAATATACCAAGCCAGGTGAATTTTAAGAAGATCGAAATGTAAAAAAATTGGCAATATTACATGGGCTGATTTTTAGCATTCAGTTTTTTCTAATAAAATTCACCTGGCTCGATATGTTTTTCTTAAGTTTATATTACACTTTTAGTGCCAAGATAACATATTCTGAAATTCATTTTCATCTGTAAACCTTTACTGAATGTGATTTGTCTATTTTTTTCATAGAAATATTACTTATATATTTCCAAGTCTTTTTCGTATTCCAGTTCTTCGGAGAAAAAATTCTAAGAACCATCCACTTTTCTAAACTTGTGACATGATATTTAATCCTTTTCAAAGAAAAAATATTTATATCATCTGTCTTTAAATGCTTTTTTTTTCAAATGCACAAAATGTGTTTATATAAGTAAAACACTTTCGAGAGTGAAATAAAAAAAACAATAACAAAAGTTATCAAGTGTGGTATATTCCTTAGTTTGTAAAGCATAGCTTTAGTATTCCAAAGTATGATGAGACTCCAAAGTCCAATCATCGCATTTAAGTCTAATAGTCTGCGCCAAACCCCGATAGTTTGACAGGCTTAAGTCCGATGGTGCTTATGACGTCTAATCCTACAGCACAAATTACCATGCCCTTCACCCCCATAAAAAAGATATACTTTTGCGTGTCAAATTATTTGGTTCGGCACAAATCATCATGACCATTGAATTTTAGAGTCCCATCGTATTTTGGAGTCCCACATATATAACTGACTAAAGTTACAGATTAAATTTTATGGTATTTTTTATTAATATATATGTACATAAAAACCCAATGTCAAAAATAGGGTACATTTTAATATATAGTTACCTATAATTGTTAAGAAACCAAACATGCAGGATGTTCTTTATGTAGTAAAAAGGAAAACAAGAGGTTAGGCAGCTGATTTTGACTGATAATGAACCTTAGATGTTTAATTTGTTTTCTGTTTCAGTATTAGCTGAAAGGCAAGACGAGGAGGAAAATAATGCCGCCATTATCGGAGGAATTGTTCCAGTGATTTTAATTGCAGTATTAATCGGTGTTTTAATATTAATATTTTACAGGTAAATGTTAATGTTCCGATGGTCTTACAAACCCATATCTTATTATATTTCTTATTTGTATTTACATTTTATCCTTATCAATTCCATAGAGAAGCACTGCCTTCAATATTCATTTGTAACTATACAATTGATGAATTTTCTGAAGAATAAAAGTGTAATATTCATAATTCCAGTAGGGGGAATACATGTAGTTATATCCGTGATACATATTTCAGTGTACCTTTGTTATTTATTAGTCAATTGATTGTATTGGTTTTCTAAAGATCCAGTACATAAATGTCATATTTCTGTTTCATAGACGGTATAAAAACAATGGAGGAAAAGAAGGCCTCATGGAAAACGATAAACATTTTGGAAGAAAAGCTGATGGAGGAAGACATGGGAAAGGTACACATTAACCATTTCGTCCATGCAAATTCTAGACTAAACATTACTATTATTTAGGAAAAAAACGCTTTGTAGCTTGGAATGTCTTTTTTATTAATAAAGTCTAAAAAAATAATTGCTCATTTTTAAAAAAAAAAGAAGTGTGTGACACGAAATATGTACGACTTAATGTAATATAAATCAAATGATGTGTCTATTTGTTTTCTTTTCTTTACATTAAGACGAAAAAAAATATGTAAGCTGATTAAAAAAAAAGGATTTTAAGCATGTGTAAAGCATCCGAGAAATAAAATAAATATATAAGTATTGTTTTCTTCAGACAATGAAACAGAGTTTTTCGATGAAGTATGCAATCCTGGTACTAGTCAAGCAGATGAAAATGGATATTACAATACAGATCTATTTATTACAAATATAAATATAGGAGATCTACGGAACGTTATAAATGAAAAGAACATGGGAGAAAATAGCCAATTCCGTCAAGAATACAAGGTAAAATACACTGCTAATATTTATTAACGCTAAAGTAATTGGAACATGAGACGAATACATATAAAAGTATCACTTTTCTAAAACGCAAAATTTAGCTTGGAATAAATACGTTTAAATATTGATCATTGATGCAGAAAATATAATAATCTCACTTAATATTTTAATTGATTTATTTGCAATAGCGTCTTCCTCCAGCTAACCTAAGCGTTTGTCAAAGCGCACAGAAGACGGAAAACAAAGCAAAGAACCGGTTCAAAACAACATTTCCTTGTAAGACAATTATCGCATTAATGTATTTAATTGTTACATGTACGTCCGTTGTCTTTTATTAAAATTATATGAAAAATTAATTAAATATTAATTACTTGTAATTTGATTTTTATTGATTTTTGATTTTATCCAAATATATATATATATATGTATATGCATAAACTTTTTAAAAAGGTTGGATCTCCACTCATTTTAACATATTGATCGATAATACAATATTTCAAGTGATTTACTGATTATTTTGAGCTTAATGATGATGCAGATTTTAACAATCTTATATCTTTCATTTTTCATGATTGAATATTGAAAGGATACAAATATGCTTTACAATTTTCTCTTCAATAAACTATTTTTTCTGGAGTTGATTATTCTTACAATTTGATACTTTGTTTATGAAAATTTATTGTCAATTTTTTGTAAGATTTTTATGGTTTTAAAATCTCTTAGATTTGATAATTGTCATGTTCAGTAATAAGATTCTAGTGAACGAATGATAGAAAAGGAGTGTAAATTATACTTCAGATGAGCATTCCAGGATCATTCTCAAAGAAATGTGGACAGATTCTGACAATGATTACATCAATGCCAACTTTATATCGGTAAAAATAGAATATATAGATTTGAACAATACATACATGTACCAAAAATCAAATTTTCGTTTCTCTCACAAAGAAAAGTTATGCTTTTTTTAAATGTTTCAATATATATTTCAATTGATATATAATTCTTAAAATTTTAATTGTGTAAATGATGAAACGACATTCTTGAAAATTTCTCATTAATTTGAAGATATGAAAACTCTATCATTTAATAAACTTTTCAAACAATCATTGAACACTTCAATTTTTGCATTTTTTGCCAAATAAAGTGGATTTATTGCAAATTAAGTTGTCAAACGAAACATATTTCACTTTAATTCTCATTTGCGTAGTTTTAGCTTGTGATCGGTTTAAAAGAAATTGTGCCTTTTTAAGCAAACTATATTCGTCTCAAATTTGGGGAAAAATTTGTGTTTTGCATCCTTAAGATTTTCTATTGATTATTTACCTCATCGAAACTTTGTAATTTGGAACTGATGTTTTTTATAGGACTGCAATGGAGAGAATCGGTATATTGCAGCTCAGGGTATGCAAAGTTTCTTTACTTTCATTGTTAATTGATTGGGGAAAATATTACATCATTGCAGAAAGTGCATTCTATTCCGATCATCAATAACCAGATAATAAATTTGCATTTCGAAAACATATATTTTCTTAATCTTTTTGGATTGTATAGTTACTAAAACTAAAATACACCAGCCCTTATCCTTTTTGAAAAAAAAAATCACTAAATAATTTGAAGTTATGCCCTCTTTGTTTCGTTAACCTTTTTGTACTTTAATAGTGTGTTTTAATTCTAAAGCTGTGGAATTTTTATAGTTAACTTGAAAAGAATTTGAGCTTTATTCAAATATGTTTACAGGGCCTAGAGACAACACATTAAGAGATTTTTGGAGAATGATTTGGCAAGAGAACATTAAAGATATTATCATGCTGACAAACTTAGTAGAGAAGGGAAAGGTAGGAAAAGCTATATTCTAAAAAGAAGTTCAAGATGTCAAAAATGTAAAATTGTATATTCATTGGAAAATGTTTATTTCATTTTTATATGTTTTTATTTAACGATTTGGTTTTTCAGAACAAGTGCAGTCAATACTGGCCAGATAAAGATAAATCAATAGGAATTGGTCTCTGCACTATATCTCTGAGAGAAGAAACAGTGTATGCATTCCATACATTGCGAAAACTTTCAGTAGAAAGAAAGGATGTAAGGATTCATTATATAGACAAAACCTTGTATTTTAATATTTTAGTATATACATTTGTGGTATCTCTCTATTATATAAACATACGGAGAACAAATATCTTCAATTTTGTATGAAGTTTGTCTGAGGTCAGAGGTCAATACGTGACCTAATCACACGGCGCAACAATATCTACCGGTTCGTTAATATAAAATGATTTACTCTACTTGCTTTTCATGTATAAAAATGAACAAAATGTGCAAGTAAAATAATAACTATTTTATTTACAACGTTAACAAGTATTTTTTTTTTTTTTTTTTACAGTTTTTTGGTTATCGATTTAACCTGTGTACATGGAGAATATACCAATAGAAACTAGCTTTTGTTTACAAGTTTTATGTCACTGTTCTTCAGCTGTACAGTTTCCAACGTTTATCCTTATTTTTGTGGTAGACTTTTAGTTAAATCCTCATGATAAACTATAATTTTTTCATCAAATTCTACTCACGATAAATGTGTAAATCTGTTGGAAAATCAAAGCAATGCAATCACGCCACGAACAGCTGAAAAACACATCGGCGCTGTCGTAGTTCAATGTAAGTTTCGCTAGTGTCCGCGTGTTTCTTGTGGCTTTTCAGCATTGATTATCAATTTTCACGAATAAAAATATTCCCAGACAACAATCTGTTCACTATTACTGATCACAAGTAGCCTTTCACAAATTAGTCCCTTAGAAATAAATCCTTTAGCCTGATGAATTCGAAGCGTAACCGCCATTCAAGCCGATTTGCACCTTGCGTCATTTTTAAAAATCTACGACGGACGGTTAGTGCAATAATCTTTATTCGAAAGTATTAAATTGTCTGTCTCAAATGTATATATAAGTAATAAATAACAAGTTTATAAACTTCAATGGGAATTGAAGTGGGTCGGTACGAGATTAAATCTTCTGAGAAGGCCTTCGGCCTTCGCAGGATTTGATCACGTGACCGATCCACTTCAATTCCCATTGAAGTTTATAAACTTGTTATTTATTTCTTAAATGATGTTTTTTTTTCGTTAATGAACATCAAATGTTGAAATAATCTGAAATCATTAAGAATTCAGTAAAATAATTCTAACACAACATCAAGACCAATGCCTCTACTTACAATATTATCATTATGAATATAATTCCTGTATACAAAGCCACCTAGTAAGAGAACTATCACCCAGTTCCACTATACCGCCTGGCCAGACCATGGTACACCACAGGAGCTGGAACTTGTCCAATTCCATAGATTTGTATCAAGGAGAATACATACGGATGTTCCACTACTAGTGCATTGCAGGTTTGTCAACTTTTAAAATAAAAAAATAACATTTATTTGGCTTTAGACCGTAGAAAACGATTTATCGTCGCAGATGGTTCTGATACAAAAAAGAACTCTCATTGCCAAATGACCCTCCGTTCCGATTATTGGTATTAACATACAGTATTTCAGTGTACAGCTACTACAATTTCTTTATTTTCATATATAATTAGAATGATAAATAGATTACTCAAATATATGGGGTAAGATGCATCTGATTCATGTAAAAATAGCAAATACATGTACATGTGTTTTTTATTTAAAATCGCAAATAGAGAGTCGAGATGTTCTTTTTAAGAATATAATTGTTTTTTTTTTAAACAAAGCTACAGTTGTACTTACATGAACCAATTGTAAATTCTTTCAAAGTCAAATTTTCTGCATTTACAAAATCAGCCTTTACAATTTTACTAGATCAACTAGATCATCTTCTAAACATCAGTTATTTGTCGTTACTTTATCAAGTCGTACAAATGTGTTTCGCCCTTATTTTCAGCGCCGGAGTTGGTCGTACGGGAACATTTATTGGACTTGATTCACTCCTGACTCAGGGAAGAGACACCGGGCGGATCAACGTTTTTGAATTTGTCAAACAAATGAGAGAGAACAGAATGACAATGGTTCAAACCCCAGTAAGTTTCTACGATATTGGTCTTCTTAACATTAGATAAATGTTAAGCTTAGTCCAATCAAATTTATAGCAATTGTTCAAACATGTGTTTATAATAAATACGATTATTTTCATTTGCCTGACAAATCACTAGAGGAATGAGAATATTGTTTTTAAAGATATTTGTTTGTAAACAAACAACTTAAGAAAGCAACAATTCGGGGCTGAATTTTTCCTCTAAAATGATTTTCCTGTACAAAAATCTTTTATCTAATGAAAGGAATAAACGTAACGAAGAGTGATCAAATAAATATTAAAAAAAGAAGTTTAAACCATACAAAAGTCCTATTTACATGACCAAATCTGCTTTATATATAGAGAACACCTTACAGTACAAAAGAGTATTTCTGAAAATTTGTACTAAAAGATATCTTATTCTTTCAGGAACAGTATATTTTCCTGCATGAAGCACTAAACTGTGGATTCCAGGGCGACTTCCTTCTTTCAAGAGATGAATTTCCAACAAAATCGGAAGCATTGCTGAATGACAATGCCCCCTTAAATCAAAGAGCTCTTTACAAAGAATTTAAGGTATAATATGATCATTAATAATTGCTGTTTAGCGTTTTAATTATAAAATTTCAGTGGAGACTTTTTCATTGTTTTTTTTCTTTTTATAGGTTTTGGAAACATTGACATCCAACTCCAACTTTTTGGCAGACGAGGTCGCTACAAGTGTAGAAAACACCAAAAAGAACTTCAGTCAAGACATACTACCTGGTATGATATATTGTTTAAAAGACATCCGTTTACAATCTTCATTTATATTATGCCAAGATACGTTAGCTTGAGCTTTTGCTATATAATTGATAAGCAACAAAATTGTTAGCCTTTTAGTTTTAACTGACATTAAAATAATCATATCTTTATTTTTAGTTTCAAAGTTCCGGCCGTACCTTACCACATATGTGAAAGGAAGGAATGATTATATCAATGCAGTAATGGTTCCGGTGTGTATTTATAAAAAAAATATCTATATGCAAAATGTACGTAAATCGGAATTCGATAGAAAATCTGGTTTTATTCTGTTACTTTACATTCCAGTCCTATAAAAACCCAGCCGGATTAATCATAACCCAAAAACCTCTACCCGACACTGAGATGGATCTGTGGAGATTGTGCTTTGATCACGAAGTGAATGCACTGGTGGTCCTTAATGCCAAGAATGAGGTATAACACTGACGTTATCTTAATCTATTCTAGTTTGATCCTAATTTTGTCCTCTACATACAAATTCCATTTCTTTATAAGATTATAACTTCTGTACACACTGAATATCTTGTAAGTTTCTTTCGGTACTCCTGTAAGCATTATGATATCGATGCTTTACCTTTAGGCAAACGGCTGGTTTCCAAAGAGAGGGTCGTCTAAGGCGTGTGTTCCTTTCACCCTTACAGCTGGCGGTACAGGAAGTAATATCAGTGGTGTGTCACAGGACCACGTAGTGATTTCAGGCGACGTAAGACTTCATATTATTAGTTACCAGAAATTACACATGCATTTAATGAAAAAAATTGCAATGACTATAAATTCAATCTATGCTTATCGGTGAACTGAAAGGTATGTAGAAGTTCACTGAAATATGACTGAATGGCAGAACTCAATCTTTTCATCCTTGTGACCAATTAGCCGAAAAATTGTAGATTCAAGTTTTTATTAAGATTTGATATTTTTTTTAAATAAAGATATAAATTCTATAAGTTTAAATCAAAAGGATGTAAAACAACTATGCAGTGGACAGAGGTTATTAAATGGGTATCTTTCCATTACCCTAGTATCGATTAAATTATTAGAATGGAATTAAAACTTGTTTTCTTCAATATATGAATAAAATGTTTGGCTAGTCAAGAATGTAGTTTTATTGAAATCATGATTTTTTTTTTAAATTTAGCATTGTTTTTTCCCCATTTCCTAACAATATTTCTGTTATATAATTAATCTTTTTATGTCAAAAATAGAACGTGAAGAAAGAAATAGAGGTTTTCCAAGTGCAGACTGATGATAATGATACTATACTTAAAGCCACAGAACTCGTTCTAGAAAAGGAGAAACAGTCACCATTTACATCTGTTGTCATAAGCAAGTAAGTTTTATTATATTGATTGAAATCAAATGCATAAGCTTCAAGTTTCATTGTAATACCAGATTCATGTAGCAAATCATTCTCTGTTTATATAAAGATCCTACAATAACTCATATCTATTTATGCATTTGTTCTATAAAAATTGCCTAAAACTTGAACAAATTAAGTGTAAAATGAAAATACATTATGCCTTGTCTAAGTGTATGTAAGATAATAGAGATATATTTTTCTTTTAAACCTATATTTTTTTAATAATGGAATGGTAAGTTGTAGTTGCTAATGTAATACACAATAGCAACTTCACTGGTTTTTTAGTAAAGTAGAAATAGCATACTCAAATATATTACCTAGGCGATTCTGACAATCACTCGTTTTTAAAAAAAATCAAAATGTATAAATTGATACCTTTTATTTGTAGAAAATGGAGCTCATCCCCATATATATGTAGGATAAGATATTACCTAAATATATAGTATACCACATAATAGGCTTTTAACTCTGTCTATAAGGAACTTTGATCCGGCACAAATCTGTTTAAAGTTTTAACTTCACTGTTGCAACAATACAACCGAAGTATTCTTCCGAGCTTGCCGAAAAGATAAAAAAAAATATGCGAGTAATAAAATATGTACATTGTGCGTTTTACACTTCAGGGACGGAGCAGGACCGGCCGGTATCCTCTGTGTTTTACATAACGCCCTGCAACAGATCAGTATGGATGGAGAGGTCGACATATTTACAATAGTACGGCAGTTAAAAGTCAGAAGACCGGAAGTTATCACAACGCTGGTGTGTAAAAACAGCCATTTTTTTCTAAGAATAAAATGAAATACATTTTCCCTGTTTTTCCTTTTTCAATTTTGCAGAAAAAAATAGATTGAATATAAGTTTTTAAAAGAAATATCTCAGGAGTGCCTGAATCAGTACTACTTTTAGGTTATTGTTGCAGGAGGAGTACAGACGATGTTACCAGCTGGTGTCTCAATCTGTTTCAACAGAGGGAATATATGCCAACATGTGACAAGGATCTCCTTTCTGTTTCATTTTATATATGATATTATATATGTACCAAATGCATTTTTCCTATATGTGAAAGTAGACATTTCATTTAATATTTATTAAACTAGTAATAGGTTATTTCCTGATAATAATTTCATTTGAAAATAAAAAAGTAATTTTAATTAAGAATTGATATGTGTAAATACATGTATTTTGGCAAAATATTTATGTTACAATGTTACGTACAAAATGACAATAAGCCTCGGCATGAATTTTTTGTATTTAAAGCACTTAAAACCAATCATGGTAAAATCTTATCAAAATTAATGTAGATACCTACATGTGTCTTGATTTAATAATTATTTACGGTAATTTGAATCACGTAATTGATAGTGATGACACATTTGAAACATGATATAAAAAAACTGAAAGAGGTGAACGAAGAAATCTTTTCAAAAATAGATAATATATTTTATTGCAGTTCGAAATTTTAAAAATTTTGCAAATGTAGCTGCTTTCTTTACAGAATTCTAGATTTTGTTTTTATCAATTTGTAATATTTATCATTAAAGTCATTCAAACATCTGCTTTTTCCATATAATTTGATTGACTGTAAAATATACCAACATCATTTCAAATTTAATGACTTCCGAGAAATAACATGATTTAAAGTTATTTTTCTATCATAATAAAAAAAAGCAATTTAAGCATACAAGTTTTAATATTTGATTGCAGTTAATAGCTTAATAGACAAGATGAAACAAAATAATTGTTTGCATCAGTCTTTATTGTAAAAAAAAAACACCTTTACTAGTAAGTTACAGATAAAACTAAGTTCAAAAAGTTTATTAATAAGCATTAAACAAATATTGCTAGGTTTTGAACAAAATTCAATACCATGGTCTAAAAAGTAGTTTCTGAAGACAGAAGATTCAACTTTAGGTGATAAGAAGAGCAGAAATGCTTTTTTTCATAGATGAAGTTTGAGAAAATGGAATATTCTACACTGGGTAGCGACAAAATAACTGTAATTCTTCTAATGCAGGAAAGTAAGACAAACACACATACACGTGACTTCAATGAAATGAAAACAAAGTTAAATCACGGTAACGTGCTCGACCATTGGTAGCCATTGCATGCCAACATCTGTGACAATAAAGCAGTCAGTTGTAACGATTGCGAAAAGTACAATATGGTGCTGATATCGTAGATAGTAATATTGAAAATGGTTTACACCTATTTGAAAAGTCGTATTCAACTTAAAATGTTTTTCGATTTGGATTCTTTCTTAAACATACCTGAACTCAAATTGATTTTCGTGTACAAAATAAGAAATCACTTTCTTACAACATATAAAAGGGACTTTTATGAAGGCAGGAACGTTTTTAACTTTTAAAATTATTATACCAAAGAAATTAGAAACCTTGAAGAGATATAAAAACAAACTTACATGTACAGTAGTTAAGCTCAAAAGCCTGTTCAAATATTCAAACAATACAAAAACAGAGCTGCAAGAAAATGAACTAAACAACAGAGGTATAATTACATGCTTTAAAGGAGCAAACACCGAAGGTCGACAATCTCAACCGCCTTGTATTCCTTATCAATTAGACAGGCAAAAGGAAAATTAATTGTAAAGGTATGTCAATTTTCATAAGAATTGTCAACATTCTACTTAATGAAATAGTCGAACTCATCGCGCAGTGATTAGAGTATCTGCTCTAGGGTCGAGAATATGGGAATTTATCCTTTCGCGGTTCAAATCCCATTGTGGAACATAGAAATTTGTCTGTAGGATGAATTCATATAAACAGAGTCCCTGTAGGACAAAGGGTGCTTGCACAAAATGGATTCATCAATGCTCAATGAGTATGTGCCGAATAGGGAAAAACATTTCCAGACATCAATCGGTAAGTCAAGTGGTGGTGTCTCCATATACGTGAAAAAGTCTTGCTTAAACAGCATACGTACAGCCGTCAAACGTTCTTGTTGAGATCAGTCTTTGTATTGACCAAAACAAAGAAATATTGATTATATTCTTAATTCGATAAATGATTGATTGCTAACTTTGCTCCTTTAAAAAAATGCTATTGAGTATTTAATGAACAAGCAGGCATAATTTAGATAAGCGGATGATATTGGTACATTGCTACATTAATAATTAGGCTTAATTCCGCTTGTCATTGTGTTTTTACGTTTATTATCGTTTGGAATGGTAAAGATTCATAAACCCTCTGCTCACTCAAAAAACAAAAATGTTGCTTAATGATTCTCAAAAAGAAAAATTATTTTATAAGTAAAATACAAACAACTATCGCATAGATTGCAGGGCAAAATTGGACAAAAAAGACACTTCAACTTTGCAGACCTATAAAAGAATAATTGGAATTTATGACATTAAGAGTTATCTCTCTTATCAGAGTATCGTCGAGCCTTCAATGAACTCTTGAACATGTTATATGGAGCCTGTTGGACGTTTTTTCTCACAAACATAAGGCCGTCTCTCCCAGCATCGTAAATCTATCCACTCCTGCCAAGGGTATGTGACAGCGACACAGTGTTCCTCTCGGTTATAATTATTTGGTTCTCTCCATCTCCAATTGGTAAAGGTGAGTCCCCTTCTACTCCAGTCCCATACAAACCTCCAATCGTTTTCCTGGTCATTGGCCCCGATCCAAACCACACACTGAAGCCATAGGCGGTGGGTACAATACGCTACGAAATATAGTAAACACTAGAAATGGAAGTCTGAGAGAAAAATATCTAGGTTAAAAAAACTATAAAAATATTCAGTAATACTTTCTTAATAAGTAGCGATCGTTCATAGTAGTAGAGCTCTCGCTCCGTGATCGGGAAGTTGTGAGTTCGATTGTCTGCCGTGACTGACTTAAGTCGATAAAAAATGGGTAGAATCTCTTCTTCCGCCATGCAGGCAGCGCTTTGAAGTGAAGTTGGTGGCCCTTGATTAACCCTAGCCTAGTAAATTGTATTTGCGGACAGATGATTGTGTACATGCATATCCTAGACCTTTCCAAATGATACCTTTTTGAGATACATTTGCTATCTTTAAATCATGAACTCGTTTATCAATAGCTTGCCTTTTCCTAAACTTTTCGAAAGTAGAATATGCTCTAACTATCTAGCCAACATTGAGATATAAATTAAATATGCACGTGAAACAGATGCATTGCAACATAAATAACTATGTTTTTATGTTAAAATCAACGTTTTTTTCTAATAAAATAAGAAGCACACTGTGGGTGTGAACGATCGGCATGGAATGCTCATTCCCCCATGATAGAGTTTTTAGACACATATTTTTGGGTTTCATGGATATTGACGTTGTAACCACATGAGAGACGGGGCTATCATTTAGAGGGCTCATTGCTCTCAGTACATCTAGTTTTATAGAGAACCATATGAAAATATGAATGTTATGAAAAAAAATCAATAAGATAAATTTGACATACCTGGTGCTAGATAATTAATGATCCATTCATTTTCTTTTCTTGATTCAATCTCTGTGAGATACCCTCCTTGACTTTTGCACTGAAGCTAAAATGTCAAAATAATTTAAAACGTTAGAAGGTGCAATGTTTTTCATTAATAGTTTCTATCGATATATGTAAGAACGAACTGAGTTTTGTTTTTACTATCATTTTACTACAAAAAATACTCAGACTCTTTTTGAGTTACAACTTCTAAACTTAAGGTCAGGATCTAGTAAAGAAAAGATGTCTCGGTTCAAAATTTGCATGTAAACAAGATGAAAAACCATATATTGAACAGTTATTTGCAATGAAATATTAAGAAAAATAGCCACGAATATAAAAGTTTTTTTCATATATAAAGGAAATGTATCCAGATTGCCTACGGTCTCTCAGACAACCGTTATATGTATGTTCAGGGCCCCTTTTTCTAAAAGAATATCAAACTTAGATTAATATAGGTATCAGGATTACATTTAATACGATATCAATTTGAATGCCATGAAAATACCCTATTTTGTACATTAATTTCTGCTAAAACCGTAATGTAAGGGAAAAAAGATGAAATCAATTACAACGTTATAATAGGCCTAGCACCACAAAAGCACTATAAAGTCATTTACTATATCTTGACCTTAACTAAGATATGAGAATGAAGTGCTTAACAAATAATTATTTAGATTACAGGTATCAGAATAATAATGTACATTTCTCTAGCCTTTACGAAGCCTACCTTAGCTTCGTCCCATGTTAAGTATTCTTTCCCCCTGAAGTAGCAGTGTTCCTCAAAATACAGCCACCCAGGCTCGCATTCTGATACGCCCCCATGAAATAACAATGTACAATATTAGCACAACATATACAATGTTAACATAAAAATACAATACTAGCATAACAACAGCACAGTTTCATTTTTGTCACTATAAGGGTTACGACAAACAGTCTAGTTTCTCTTTGCTAACTTAAATTTCTTTTCTGGTTATTGCTAATTGTAACATTTTATGATCATACAACTTTATAAGAAAATTATGGAAAAATAGCATGTAAGTGTACATCCGCGGAGGTAAACAAGCGTAATTTACGTCTCTTATAATGTCATGATCTCTTTTTTTGCTATACACGTGTCTGTTAACATCCATTTCTTAAACAGGATAAATCAGTCTTGACTAAGGGACGTATTTAAATTAACTTTTGTCCGTTTTCTTAACAGATTCAAATTTTAGTCAAATTAAGTCGAAAAAACACCTTACATTTTAGGCAGCAGATAATACACATTGTTTGACATCGCTTGTTGCCCAGAACGTTCCCCACTGTCTCTATTTAACAAACAGTGCTCTACTTCTTACATGCAGTAACTATTTTCGGTATAGAGGAAAAAATATCATTGAATCTTACACCATTTAAACAATATTTTTATTGAAATCTAGTGTGTAATGTGACTTCCGTCCTCTTATTTCCATCTTTGATGTAAATAAACAATATCCAATCCACTTTAGAATTCCGAAGGGAGAAGTTAATCCTTACATCGCGGTTTCAAATCCAACTGTTGGATGTAGAGAACGGTCCTTCAGATAAGACCGTATAAACTAAGTTCCTATGTCGAAGTAGGTTCTGGCACGGAAAAGATACCTTTCTGCTCAATGGCCCTGAGTTCCGAGTATAGGACAAAATTTGCATGGCTTTTTGTCGCGTCTACATATGAGTGAAAAATTTTCGAGAGGACGTGCAACCAAAATACAATAAAGCAATCATGATATTTCGTTCCTGTAAAGTCTATCAACTTTGTTATTAATATATATTTTAAAATATTACAGTGATTGGAATTTCAGGTCTTCATTGATATTGTTTGTCATATATCGTTTTCAAAATAAATCTCAAAACTTGCACTTTAATCAATTTGCAATACTGTAAACGTATTACATTTGGCTGTGTATTCTTTTTAGCATTTTTTGCGGAAAGCAATATCCGCTAATTCAAGTACGACGCTAAATGTCTCGCACATAAATCTATAAAGAAAAACATTAAGATATGCGCTTAATCAAATCCACGCTAACTTGTTCAAAATCCAGTTTCCGCCAAATATCGTACGCACTGAATATAATACATTTACAGTATACCCCGATGTCCTTTAAACGAAAACAATATCATTTATTATATAGTTGAATATATCCTGTCTATCTCATTGTCTGAGACCCATTTATGTAGAAGAAATGCTACGTTATAATCACCTGCTTGTGACAATTCAGGTAAATATAAGGACATTGGTAAAAAATTATGTTTTTTTGATTAGTCAATTACAAATTGATAATAGCCTTTTCATTGTTACCGATTTCAACTCAACATGGGTATATATAACATTAGGGAATATAATGGGGTTGGGGGTGGTTGGGGTGAAAGGCACCTTCTTCATCCAACACCCAAATCATTTTTAAACGTATATATTCTTTAATTTAAACGTAAAATATTTGTCAAAAGAATTGTCCCCTACTAATTTACTTTAACCCCCATCCTAAATCCACAAAACCCTACACAAACCAAAAACATCTAGAATTTTTATTTAATTTTTGCAGAAACAAGTCAAATACATTTTTCAACTGTCATCAGTTGTCCACTTATAATAAATATATCCCACTTTCTTTTAAAATTCATCCTTTCAAATGAGCAATATTACTGTATTTTTATGGCAAAAGTAGATTTGAATTTAAAAAAAAAAAAACTATGACTGTTTAGATTAAACTAACTCTGTTTCTCTAAGTGCATTTGGTTAATACTTCAGCAAATGTAAACATTTAAGATGGCATGAACTGCTCATCATTTACTGATATCATGGTATTGAAAAAGATTTTTTTCTTCAATACGGTCATTCAAACACATCTCCATGCGAACTCGGTCAATATTGTATTCTTCATATAGCTAAATCTTGGTATTGACCTCAAAAAGCAATTATTAAATATCATTATTATATTTACCCGACCAGAACTCCCAGCCCTCATGCGCATCAAACTCCACCGTTTCACGACTTTGATATTCCATTAGTTTACACGATTGTTGCACTTCATGGTAAAAAACACCCGAACATTTGGGGTTTCGATTTAAGCAAAATAACGAACATTGACCAAGATCTATCCCTTTATATTCATTTATGATGAACTTGATATTTCTTGGCAATACATTGTTAAGGTACCGTTTTCTTAAATATGACTGTGCGTTCACTTCAGCGCCGCATTTTGGAAGAAACACATCTAGAACAAAGGCTATGCAGAAGATTTGTTTCATCACAATGGACATTTTAGTTGTTTAACGTATTATTCATACCCTAGTGTTGGTTTTGTATGTTTGCATAAATAATCTAAGGAATAGGATCATCATTTAACCTTCACCGATCACAGCGGACTAAATCCTTGAAAAGAAAACAACCTTTTCCGAGTATAGTTGTATAAAATTCTAAGCAACAAATTAGCTCTATTTTTTTCATTCGCATTCTCTTTAAAGATCCTTTTTCAATTCCTTAAAAAAATTGGCAAAAATAAAAAAAGGAGAGGAAAATTACATCTGGCTCATTTTGTTATATATTTTTTAACCGAAAATAGAAATACAGACAGTCAAGCATTTTAAACTGTTGACTTTCAAAAGGATAAACATTTCCTGCCATGTAATAGGGTATTAAATATTTATAAGATAAATTAAATATTTCTAGATCTTTTAACTGATATCGATTTTTCAAAAGAGATGATGTCTTGAATAATTGAATGAAATTCTTTGAAAAACGTTTTCCAAGTCCCGCTTAATTTTTAGCTCATCTGATCCGAAGGCTCAAGTGAGTTTTTCTTAACACAATTTGTCCGTCCAGCTGTCTATCTGTCTGTCTGGTTATAAACGTTTCACATTTTTGACTTCTTCTCAAGAACCACTGGGCCAATTTTAGCCACACGTAGTACGAAGCGTCCTTTGGTGATGGGAAATTCAAATTGTAAAAATGAAGGGCCAGGTCCTCTCACAAGGATAGATAATCAATAAAAGACAAAAAATGGTTAGGTCATTAACAAATCTTTTTCTCAAGAACCACTAGGCCAGAAAAGCTGAAATATATTCGGATACCCCTCGTAGGTTGTATAGATTCTAAATTGTTCAAATCATGACCCCCGGAAAATGGCGGGGCCACAATAGGGAATCAAAGTTTTACATAGAGATATGTAGGAAAGATCTATAACATCTTCTTCTCAAGAACCACAGGACCAGAAAAGCTGAAACTTATGTGGAAGCATCTTGGTGTAGTTTAAATTCTAAATTGTTCAAATCTTGAGCTCCGGGGTTGGGCGGAGCCACAATAGGGAATCAAAGGTTTACATATAGGAAATATCTTTAAAAATCTTCTTCCCAAGAACCACGGGGCCAGAAATGCTGAAACTAATGTGGAAGCATCCTGGTATCGTTTAGATTCTAAATTGTTCAAATCATGACCTCCAGGGGTTGGACGAGGCCACATTAGGGAATCAAAGTTTTACATAGAAATATATAGGAAAAATCTTTAAAAATATTCTTCTCAAGAACTACTCGGCCACAAAAGCTGACACTTATGTTGAAACATCCTGGGGTAGTGTAGACTTTAAATTATTCAAATCATGACCCCCCGGAGTTGGGCAGGGCGAACGTTTGGAATCAATATTTTACGTACAAATATATAGGAAAAAAACTTTTTAATTTTCTCCTCAAGAACCACTGGACCAAACAAGCTGAAACATTTGTGGAAGCATCTTGGAGTTGTGTAGATTTTAAATTGTCCAAATTTTGACCCGTGGAGTACGATGTGGTCACAATAGGCATTACAAGGGGAAATCTTGTTAAGAATATAGCATGGTCAAAACTTCTCAGGTGAGCGATTTGGCCCATGGGCCTCTTTTTTTTGGTCTGATAGAAAATTTTGAAAAAAAAAATTGAATAAAAGAATTATCATTTTTTGTACTCTAAAAAATGAATTTTGATATAAAATCAAAAGTTTAATCAATGAATTTAGAAAAAAATACTTTGTATTGACTAGTCCTTTTTTAACCGAAGAACAATGCCGAAACGACTGTCCGTCTGAAGAATATCCGCTTAAATTTTTTTAATTGCAATATATTCGACAGTTTATAATTAGATAAGAGGAAAATGTTATTCCGTCCACGTTGGATAAGAAAATACCAATACAATTAATCAATGACATAAATATAAACCTCTGACTTTTCAACTTTATTTACAACCATTCCTCGCTTTGAATCAAAATATTTTATACAGAATAGACAGCAGCCTTTTAAATTAAAGAGGAACTCGTAGATTTACTTAACTTGTCATTTTTTTATTTAATTCATTATCTTGTTCAAGTCAACATCTCCTAATTTCTTTGGTGGATACAATACAATACCTTCTTCAGTAAATACAAACGATAATTAGATGAGATGCTGATCATTACTGACGTTTCTCATACTATTCGTTAGGTCATCAATTGCATGTACACACTTAATTGTCTACGAATTTTCCGTTAATTGCTGATCATGATATTAAGGTGCATGATCAACGGGTCACCAATCTGCAGGGGATCCATTTTTCTTCGTGTCATCTGATCTCGCCTATGATAATTTAGAGATCTATGTTTTCTCTGCTACTGAATTGCATTGTTTGAATGAACTCTTCATCTTGAATACTGTTTATTATGCTCATATACATGTATTTCATCATAAAAACTGATTGAATTTGAAAAACTAATACTAAATAACTTAACTACATAAGAATTCTTACAAACAGAAATGCATAATGTGTTCAATTAAATGATTAAACAGGCATTATTCCTTACTGCCCGCTTAAATATAACAACGTTAAGACGTGAAATGAAATTTTAGAACAAGTCACCCCAATGAAGACAGAGGTCAAATCATTATACTAGATGACCTTAAAAAGTAAGATAAGTTGACGTATAGGGATCTTACAATTGATCAATTTCGCTTACGTAACCCAATTACATCACGAAAAAAAAATCCTGTCTACTTATTGAACTCTGATAATAAAAGTAATAGAAATAAGGTTATCGTTAAATTGAAGAAAGTATTCATAGAAAACAATGTTGCCTAGCGATGAAATATCCTTCATGCTCTGAATCGTTTATAAATAAAAAAAAAAACCAATGTTCATGAAAAATGGACAAAACATTTCAACATCAGTAGTATTTCCAATTACTTATATTATAAGAGCCTGAATGACTGTAAGATCAATGTTCAAATTTAATATGTTTCATAAAGATCAAACTCTCCTTTTCTTCCAAACTTGGCAAAAAAATTATATGTATCCGCAAAGAATGTACATAGCTTGTCCCTTTTCCCCGAACATGAAAAGGAGCACACGGCGGACGCGACTGGTCGATAAGGGCTGCTCACTTCTCCATAACATCTGATGTTTTTTTTAATGTTAGTTTTTGTTCCGTTCTTGTTATGCATTGTTCACTGGTCTATTGAGCTCGAATATTATTCGTAATCCCTATACATTTCATTCTAACTGAATTTATGATAATGTCTTTATGACTGGTAAATCTATGTTGAAACTAGATACGTTTCCTATTTCTTTTCTGCCAAATATTTATAATTTTTGTAATGGGTTATTAAATTGGACAAAATGTTATGCTATCTAAATTTTAATATTTGGTTTTCGTGGGGGGTAGGGGGGGGGGGTGTTTCGGGCTTAAAGACTTTCAAAGAGAAGGTCCCCATCTTCGCAATAGCATCATTTCTCAAAGTGTTTTGACTGTAAAAATATATGCACACCGGATAGAGGTATGTACATGTAGATGGTTTACGATGGTATGTTTACTGAGACCATGAAACACACAAGCACACATTCAATTAATAAAATTGTTTAAGAGATAAAATATCACCACACGCAACATAGCAAAATATTATTTTGTTATTCAGTACATCATTATAAACACTTTTTTATCTACTGTACTTTTAAAAGTATGGAGAGAGAGAGAGATAGAGAGAAAGAGATTTTAAAAAAATCGATACGACACTAATCCTTTTGAAAATACAGAAGTTTTTATTTAATATAATTTTATTTTCCTTTTTTATAGACAAGTAGGCTTCCTTTATCAGTTTATTTAAGTGTTAAATTTCCATCTAGAAATGACCAAACATGGGGGAAATATCTGGATTTAGAGAGGGAGTACATGTACATCTCCATGAATCTCCCCAGCAGCCCTCTTTAAAAAAAATAATAATAACTAGATAAGATCTCGTTGCGAGCAACGAGTAGGTCTTCAGTTGATTTTCTCGATAAGATGAGAAGTGATTTTGACTGAGATATTGGTTAATAGAGAATGACATTAAGTTTTCTTTCATTAAATTTAAAGTTTCTGGGTCCGACGTTATAAAACATACTTAAGTCTAAGAATGCTCTGAATTCTGAAAATTTTCTCAAATTCAAAATTCTCAGACTCAGCGGCCCTCATAAAAAAGTTGAGAAAAATAAAAATTCCTTAAACTCTCTTTAATTCTCAAATTCTCAGCTGAGTAATTCTCAAGACTTGAGTTGAGATTTTTTTTTGAGAATTCTCAAAGTTTTATGACGGCGGACCCTGATTTATATCACGATATCTTGAACATCTTTTATCCAGTCTAGCTTATTAAAATACTCCCCTTTTCGAGATGTAAAGCATAAAATAAATAGAATTTTGGACCTTGCGACCCCTTATTACGTAACATATGATCAAATTTTATAATATATTTTTGCAAATGTAAAGAAGAAAATCTTTGCTTCTGTAATGTATCACAAAATATTATAATATATTGTTGCAAATGTTGATATCAAAGAAAGGTCTTGTGATTTCTTTTTGTTGCTTCTTGCCACCCCTACAATGTATCACAAAAAATCAATATGCATATTGTTTAAAACATTAAAAATTGCTTATCAAAAAGATATAAAGCGTCAAAGATTTAGCATTCTGGCCCCTTGTGACCCCTAATTACGTAACATATGATCAAAATTTTATCATATTGTTGCAAATCGTT